TCTTCCACAGGTTATACACGCGTATAACTGCACACGTCACGAATCAACCAGTTATTCGCCTCACTTTCTGCTCTATGGTCGTCAACCTCGTCTCCCTGTGGATCTCCTGTTCGGCCTGTCAGAGGAGACAGATCCAGTGACACACAAAGGATATGCTGAGAAATGGCGCGAAAGGATGACAGAAGCATATCGGATTGCTACTGATAACAGTCTGGCGTCTAGTGCAAAGGGCAAGTCCTATTATGATCAGAAGGCGAGGGGAGTGGTTCTGAAGCAAGGGGATAGAGTGTTAGTCAGGAACCTAAGTGAGCGCGGAGGGCCTGGTAAATTGCGTTCCTATTGGGAGAAGAGGATATATGTGGTAAAGGAACAGGTTTCAGATAACCCAGTATATGTCGTCCATCCAGAAAGTGATGCAAAAGGGAAAACCAGAACCCTGCACAGAAACCTGCTTCTGCTTGTCAATGACTTGCCAGTGGAATGTCCACCACAGTTAGTCAAACCAACCCCAAAGCCATCACAGCAACAAGGAAGCCATCCAAAGAGACAAAGGGATGTGAGAGACCAAAATGCTGAGACATCTGATTCAGAGGATGAGTCAACAGGAGGTTACTGGTTGAGGATACCAGCAAATCGGGTTAAGCCTAACATAACAGTTACTCCAAAAAGACCAAGTATGTTAAGAAGAGAACAGACATCAGTGTGGGAACCACATTCTTCTGAGGAGATGTTGGGAAAGACTACCAGGAACTCTGGTGTAGAGAGACGGCTAGAGTTCCAAACTTTACCTGACATGGACATTGCACAACGGGAAGCTGGAGAACAGGCTAAAGGTCTTTGTGAAGAAGAGTACTCGTCAGACAGGTGTGAACTTCAACTTGAGGATGAACCGGAAATCTCTCATCAAACTGAGGACAATGAGCAGACAACCCCTAATGTACCTCAGAACGAAGATGAGCAAGAGTTGCCTCAACGTGCATGTCCCGAGGAACGGGTACAAGACCCTGAACCTGACTCACCTGTCCCACTGAGACGGTCTACTCGGGAGAGACGACCAGGTAAAATCCTCACCTACTCATCTCTTGGCCTCCCAACATACCAGTCGGGTCCAACAGTAAATGCTATGGATACATACCTCATGCCCTACACTCACCTTTGGTATTCACAAACATGCCCACCATCATTCCACTACACACCCCTCATTCCATATCCCCATTCACCATTTACATGTCCCATACAAGGTTATTGAAAGGTCACACACAGTGTTAGTCCTAAGGGTCATACATGTTGAGGTGTGATAGTTTGGACATTGTAAATATTTGTGTTTTATGAAGATGTTAAAGTTATCTTGAATAGGAACATGTGATTTCAAGTAAGTGTCGGGAGCCACTTTTGTTGTCGGGGAGCGTGTGGCACCCCTGGGATGTGTGACCACATTAATATAATAAGTATTATATTTAGAGTTAGAATATGCCTTTATTTTGTACATCTGTCTATTTTCATTTCATTAGCGGGGTTGAGCAATGCATTTAGTAGTATGGCGGAACGTTTGTGTTCCGGGGACTGGTTAGAGGGACGGACTGCCGGTGTTTCCTCAGAAGCAATCTGGAAGGAAACCAAGGGTGTTTCTCAATCGCGAGTACGCTTGCTTGGTAGCACATGTCTGCCGAGCATCTTGCTTCAGAAGCGAGTCAAGAATACTTCCTGGCATTCGGAAAACGAAGTGTGGAACACGCTAGCAAGTGTGCAGGTGTGCGTCATATGAGAGGCCCCGCCTTACATCTTCCGCCACAGATTTGGGGAAATTGGTCCGTGCGCAAAGCATTGTGGGGATTTTAAGACCGCGAAGTCTACTCATGTGCACACTCGATATTTCTCCAAACGGAGTACGCCGGGCTCGGTAGATTACCAAGTATACTGGCGATTGGAACAGTACTTCGGCGGCACTCGATGACGTAGTATGCTTGAAATAGTGGCTCTGAAGCAGCTTTACTCGCGATTGAGAAACACCCCAAATAACCCGTGTCCTCATTGCTCCTGTCTCACCTGCTCATTACAGGTTGGTAAAAGGTGCAAAAATCATATGAACTCCCCCATAATGTTTGCGTATATGGTGTGACGGCCCACTAAAAGTGTGGAGTGTTTGTAGCGCTGTTTACATGTTTAAAAGTGTATGAATGTGTGTGCGTATTAGCTTAGCTTTCCCCGTGCGGCGCCATCTTGGGGATAACGTGGTCTGACACGGAGATGGTGCGAGTGAGATAGTGTGTCTGAAGGCTCCCGCCCACTAAATATTTCCATACATGTGTAGTTATGAATGAAGTTATGAATAAATATGCACCTTATGAAAGGTATAGTTTAGATAGTGTTATACTGGATGTTTGTTACACAAGTATGCTGTAGTGTTTGTAACATTATGATTCTCTAGTTTAAATGCATTTTAGTGATCTGCAATGAATGGCAGAAGGGTAATAGTTGAAATTACAGTTTCAAGGGATATTTAATACAGGTTTAATACTGTAAAACAAGATGTATGAAAGGTACAAACAATTAGTGAATGTAAAGTTCAGCTTAAATGTGTGTTTGTCACAGAAGGGGTTATTGACAGTGGATGTGTGTTGATGGAGCTGTCAGAAAAGTGAATGATTAAGTAAATACACTGAAATGCATAAGAGAATTAAGATGTTTAAATAAGGTTGTGTAATAAAACTACCAGTAGAAGCAATCTGGAAGGAAACCAAATAACCCGTGTCCTCATTGCTCCTGTCTCACCTGCTCATTACAGGTATCATAACCGTTACTGTGGTCCTCATATCGGGGACCCGTAACATATACAGAGTGTATAAAGACTGGGTCCCACTGTATTGCTCAGGCTTCACTACAGCGTCTATTCACAGGCGCGATCCCACTACTGAGCGGCACGGGGGATTTGACCTGCTCCGTGTCCGACCTGGGCCGGTGCCCCCCTCCTTAGACGACCTGGTGGTCCCGGGCTCCCCAAGGATCACCATATCGATACCGAATTTAGTGCGGACACCCGTTCGACATAGTCCCTGCAGCTCAGAGCTCCTGAGCTCAAACGCTCCTCCAGCCTCACCCCTAGATTCCACCGGGTCTGTCTGCGGCGCGTTACGGACGCGTTACGGCTGCGCCGCGGTGCTCAAGGTGATCGCGGCCACTCTAGTCAATGGGTGCTATTCCACCACACGCGGTGCGTTACGGCTCAGACGCGTCCCAGAAGCGTCCCAGAAGCGGCTCGGCGCAGGGCTTTTCTAAAATTAGGATCGAATCCTATTTTTGTCGCGGCGCAGCCGTAACGTAAGGTCGGGCAGGCAGGAAGTGGAACTTTCAGAGCATATATAGCATATATATATAGATATATACACACACACAAACTAATTTTGCAGACCCTATCCCTCCGTAGTCTTTCAAGTAGGAGGAGAAATGCCAGCGTTCTCCTCCGGTTTACAGGCACTGTGTAAATTATATATATAGAATAATTATGATGATGAATGCATTTTTTTTACCACTAAAATAAAGCAACACATCTTTGATTCATGTCGTTTATAACTGGAATATTACAGTTATTATTAACTTTGTCTGTACAAAGTAGCCTGTCCAGGAAATATGCCCAAATCAACAAAAACTGCGAGCCGGCAGGCAAGACTCTCCGCTTCTGAAATGCTTCTGAAACGCGCCTGGTAGGGTATGACGCCGGAGGAGGCCGGACCAAAACCGCGGCGCAGCCGTAACGCGGCGCAGACGGACCCGGTGGAATCTAGGGGTCAGCCTCCCGGTAACTGGGATTACAGGCGCGCGCCACCGCACCCGGCGAGAGGACTCTGCACGGGAGAGGCTTTGGGGTTTAGAGACGTGACGTCATGTCTTGTGTTGCATTCACACACAATGATATTCTTCCTCTCTTCATCACTTTCCAACTTGTTTATCAAATTCATCTGATGATTTGTTTTGCTTAAGTTATTGGGAAGTTTAATTTAAGAACATTTACAATTAGACAAGTAGTTTATGCCTAAAAGAACTATTTCGTTTTATCGTCATGGGTCTTTTCCATTCCTTTTCAGTTCTTATCAGTAAAAACATTTATAGGTTTGAATGATTTATGTAGACTCATTCACTTCTGGTGAAGTCTGAGGACTGGCATACATGTATTGCTAAAACTGAAAGTGTAACTTTTAATGCTGTTCATTTATAATTCTTAGTATGAACATCTTGACATTTGTGTATTAATACAAGAATATGAGTGTTTTTTTACACATCAGTCCTTACGAGTTTATATTTATCACAGTAGATTTTCATCACTCTTATCATTTCTCAGTGATACTAATAACAATACATTGCTGCTGGATAACTGCAATACAAATTAAATACACATGAGAAATACAAAGTATCTATTTTTTGGTTTATTTGTGTGGATTCAAAGGACAGATCTGATGACTGCAGAGATTGATGGACTTTATTGAACTCTACACTCTAAAAATTGCTGGGTTATTTCTGTAAACACATTGCTGGGTTGATTTGGCTGGGTCATAATTATGGGTTATTTGGGTACTGCAAACACACTGGTGGGTTGTTCATGCTAGGTCAAAGGGGTTATTAGGGCTTCAATTGCAGTTGAACACCTGCCTGGGTTATTTTTAACCCAGAGGTTGCTTTATTCATTTTCCCACTTCTGAATCATTCTGGAACCATCTTTTTGTCATTTCTCACATCAAAACACAAGGTATGTAACCTATATTTTATCACTATATTTTACCTATATTTATATAATTATACAATTCTGTAACCTATATTTTTTTAATGAGTTGTGATAACAGCACAATAGGGATCTGTATTAATAGTAATATGGCATTTAACAGACTGTGCAAAGTATAACATTAGCAGTTAACGTCAGCTACAAATGTTTTACATTTCTGTCAATGCTATATCATTAAGTGAAAGAGCCTTGAATGTACGTTGTGATGCGATGAATTATTATTTTACAAAGACGTTTGTTCTACTAGTAGCTATAAATAGGTCTGAACTATATATAGCTTTGGGTTTGTGTGCAAAATTATTAGATGTACTGTACAAGCTTCACTTCAGTGTAGCTGTTGGCAGTATAAATCAGATGGCTTTTATGTCACAACTCTCTTTCCCAGCATGCAGCTCGGGCGCGCGCTTTCACACACGGACAGACAGACAGAGAAAGAAGCTCATTGATTTAGGTAAGTTTAGGTTATTAGAGTTATTTATTAATTACATTAATCATTAAAGTTAGCATCTATTGAAGTTATTTTTAGGAGTGAGTGACCGAAGTCACCGAACCACATAATGTAACATTTTAGTTCCCTGCCATCGACGTGTTACCCCAGGTTAGCTTAGCTTAGCTTAGCTTAGCATACCAACCAGCTAGGTCGTGAATGGCGAGGGGCGACGTCAGGGTCCAATAATAATAATAATAAATCGTGAATGATTAAAATGTCTTCAAGGAGAGATTGTTCTTTCGTGAGAGTGAGCTCTATCACTGGTCTGCTTTTATATTGCTGTATATTCGGCAGTGGTTGCGTGCCTAAAGTAGCATTATTTTTTCTTCTGTGAAACGTCATTTCATTCTATTGTGTGTGCATTTTTTTTCTATCTAACATAGATTTGGCAGACCCCCTGTAGTAACTGTAAATGTGTAGCTTGGTACCTTACAATAAATGTTAAGACATTGCACAGTTTTGTGAAATTCTAATGTACTTAATCCAGGGCTCGAGTTTAAGGACCTCCCGTCGTCCCGGGGCCGAAAAAAATCGGGTCGGGGAGGATACAAATTAATTTTGGGACGAATTTGGGACGAGAGTTAAAATAAAAATACCCTGCTAACTCTACTACGAACGGCGATGAAAATGAAACTGACTGCACGTTTTGTGTAGCACACAGTTATTAAACCTCCTTGTCAACATAAACACACACAAAGCATTTAGCAACCCGCGAAATACACACACACACACACAGTACGTAGCTACAGCTGTCAGCCAGCCGCACAGCTGTGATGTAACTACAATTTTTTTACCCCGGAGCGGTGCGGAGAAACGAAACTTAACTTATGAAGCAGCTTTTGACGACGCGCTATGCATGGGGCACCCTAGAGGGGGTTTCCAGACATGTCATTGCAGCTGAGATGAGAACTCTCCATCGCATTTAGTCCTTAGCAATATGCTGCGCCTCTCCCCATGTAGGGATGGGTACCGAGCCCCGGTATTAAACGGGCCCCGGGCCGGAATTATTAAAGACAGTGGTACCAACAGTGGTCTTTTTATCGGTACTGGAGACATTTAAAACATACATGTCATATGTATTATTGCTACATGAACATTACATTGCAGTTTTAGTTTCGCCAACTCCTTTTCTAATATGCAATAAGACTACAAAATGCGTCTATGATGTATTTTCCAATCCAGACGAGAGAGCTCTCTCCCCCGTCTGTGTGCGAGGGGGCGGGGCAGTTTGTAAAGGTCTCCTGACTGTGTTACAGACTGTCATCCTGGTTAGTGGTTACTCTTGGTTCTGTCTTCTGTCTTCAGGACAGAGTGTTGGATTTTTTTGTTAATCGGATGGGACTTGATTGGATTCAATATTAGAGTAACTTTCTCGCTTGTGTGTTTTTTTTAAATATATTTGGCCTTTGTTTCTGTGTTTGACTGATTTACTCAAATAAAAAGGTTGATGAATTATCATCTAATGATTTGTATGATGTTTTATTTATGTTAAAGGTCACTTTGAATGATTTTAACTAATGATAATGTAGAAAAACAAATATTTTAAATTCGGGACGGTCCACATTAATTTCGGGACGGCTTAGATTGTATTTCGGGACGGTTCCGGGAGGATGGTGAAAAAAGTTAGTCGAGAGCCCTGACTTAATCTGATTTCATTCTAGTAATGTGAGGGTTTCACCATGGACACGTTTGTCACAGAGACGTTGACTGCATGGCAGCTTGAGAACTTGATTGACACATTTAAAGGTAAATTCATTTTTATTGAGACAATGTTGAGATGTTACTATTAAATATTTTGTTATATATTAAAAAGAGGAAGGCCATATCCAGTTTTGATACTAAATATGTTCTATTTTCACTAGGTAATTAACCACTTAAACCCTATGGATTTTTCTTTTAATCTCAGTGATGCAAATTAGTCGCTTTTCGGCGCTTCCCGCTTTTTTAACGCTGATTTGGGTGACTTGTGTAATTCGTGGAGAACCGAAAAGTTTTCGTTTTGGGGGTGGGGGTGGGGGGGAGTCCGTCCGCCCGCCCGTCAGTCCGACTGATGGACGGACAACTTCTCACTTCAAAAAAGAAGAAGAAATCTAGACCGCAAAATAATTATACAAGCGAGTGCCTGTTTTTCCTGGCCAAGGACAGGTTCATTGAACACAACACGAGCGTAACGTGTCTTCACTTGGTATATGTCTCGTCTGAAAGGAGTGTAGACTAGAGTGCTGACGGAGAGCACCGGAACGCCGCTCCAGCTCTTCAAATATTGCAGTGCCAGTACCCATAAGGAGCCGTACACATGCCGCAGTGTTTGCGTGGCTGTGTCTTTAGTTGTAAGCACAGTGGCGATCTGTTGTTATTAGCATCTGGTTAGCTAGCTATGCTAACGAATTTAAAGAGCTTCTCTACAACCAGGTGGAAGAGAGCTCTCTCCTGAGAGGCTCAAATAACCTCAGCTCAGTGAGGTTAAGGCACACCTTGATATGATCATTATAGTTATTAATGAGACATTAGAGACTAAATGAAAGTTTGTTATGACAGTAACAAAAAAGTTGTTAAAAATAACAAGAATAGAGTTTAAAAGGTGAGTGATTTGTAAAATATCCAAAAAGAAAAATCTGCTTACAGTTCTGTTTCATATGGGTGTTGAAAGATGTATCCATAGATCTCTTCATTTTGCTCTCAAAGTGCACCAGATTGATGCTTTTAACTTAAAGGGGACCTATCATGCAAAATGCACTTTTGTACGTCTTTTATACATGAATATGTGTCCCCGGTGTTCCAGGGAACTCACCAAGTGTCAGAAAACACAACCCTCTCTATTTTCCTCCATACCCAAATCTCTAAAAAATAATAATAATCTAATTTTCTCTTTTACAGGGAGCTTGGTACACACCTGGCCGAAATCACAAACCTGCTACAGGTTTCCTGGAGGAGCGCTTGAGGAACGTCAGGAAGCGCATGAGAATGCTGAAACGACCACGCCACCAAGAACAACAGGAGGAACAGACACCTAGTACACCAGGTAATACTAATAACCAATGTTAATTATCCCCGCCAGGCTAGAATGGACAAATGCAAGGGATTATATTTTCGGTCCCATGACTCTTCTGTCCATCCATCTTCTAAAAGCTAGTCTCAGGCACCGCTGGACCGATTGGCGACTTTTCACACACTCCAATTAGGCCAGAACCCCAAATGTTTGAAATCAGCTATAATGAATCTGAGGACCTCTGTACTTATCATTCAACAGAATCTGATGTGCCTCCTGAAAAACTTCTAGAAATGGTTGAATGGATGAAGGTCAATAGGTAGGTCCCCTAACCCTTTTCCTAACAGGTACTACAAGCCCATATCATTTCTTTAAACACTGTTCTATTGTTTTTCAAAATGTATCAGATATCACAAGACTTCCAGCAGCTTCATCCAGAGGCAGTGGGAAAACTGTTTCAGAACTGGGCTACTATGAGTGACCGAATCCTTGCATATGCCCAGCGAGAGGGAAAACTGCCCTTGGTGTTTGATGACATGACACCAGGTAAGCTATTTCTTACTATGTAACACACACACACACACCGGTTCTTTGAAAATAGCAGATCTACAAGCTTGCATTGCGTCCCAATGAGACTCGTTGTGAGCTTGTAGATCTGCATTTTTTTTTTTAATATTTTAACAATCATCTTGTATGGGGTCCCTTGCACAACATGTTTTCGGATGGGAGTCTTTGGACAAATACATGAACAAGTTTGTGAACCACTTCATTAGATACCTTGTTGTCTTTCTTTGATTCCTGCTCCCCCCCTTCCTTTTCTTTCTCTTTCTGGAAACAATCAAAACGATGGAGCTTGCACAAAAACAAATTTCACCCACTGTTTTACACCTGTGATGTGACAATAAAGATTCTGATTCTGATAAGATGTCACAACACTTCCTGTGATTATAATAGGCTATACAATTCACGCCTTGTTTTTACCATTCAACACCAGGGCAGAAAAGTCAATATTGCTTCAGAAATATCAATCTTTATATACTATTTAAATGTTGATGTTAATATGTATTATTCTTATATTGCGTAGACCGAGCTTTGAAAGTCCTGCCGACTCTGCTTCCTCCATCGGTCTACAAGATTGGAGGAAAAGTCCACAGACCCACCATAGAGGAGTCCCGCAAGTCCTTCATTAATATCCAACCAGTAAGTTTTACTTTTGTTTTTCTACTTCAATAATGGTGGGTGTTTCTGTGTTTATATACTAGCATTTTCATACTTCCATAAAAAAGATAATAAAAACAACATGCGTAACTTAAATGGCAGGTTATATTGCAAGTAACTGTTGTGTAATTAACAGGTGGGGACCAACATGGTACAGTACCTACAGACAGCAGAGAGAACTCAACCCTTCCCGCACATCTTGTGTCTTGGTGATGACATGACAACATGCCAGACCTTCACCATTGTGTCAGACAACGCCATTGAAACGGACACTTTGCTGGGTGCAGTAGATCTTTGTTTTAAGGCTTTCTTTGTGTTTGACATCAATTACACAAAGCAGTGTCTCCCTACCTGGGAGTTTATCCAACAGGCAGTATATGAAATTGATGGACATGAATCCTCAAATGTCAAATTTTTGAGGACATCAATTGCAGCTTAGGCCTAAAAGTACACTGAGAGAGAAGTAGCCTTTTAGTGATGTGATTGTGTCAAACAAGTTGACAGCTGCTCTCTAAAAATATGAATGACACAAAACATGATTGTAAAACACAGTAGGCACACACTTTAATTGTGTCAAAACATTGACACACGTTTACACTGTACCTACTAGTCCTGTTAATTCATTTATTTTTATTTTATTTTTATTACTTTACGTGATTTAATTTACTTCATTTATTTATTTACCTTGTTATGTTTGTGTCTGTATATAGTTTCTGCCGGGAAGAGAAATGTTTTATCTCTATATTTAAACATGTTTTTTTTGTTTGACAAATGTTGTCTCGTGCAAAAGTAGCGAAAATAGCTGATCTGCAAGCTCACAATATGTCAGCAAATTATTTTGTCTCCATTGTTCTTTTATAGTGGAAATGGAATGTTGGCGATTTGCCAAAGCTGTTGAAATGATCAATAAATGCATTTTTTATATATATGGTGTGTTTGGAGATAATTATTATACATTATTATTATATTCTATTTAGCCCAACAATATAGTTGATTTCAATCAATAGCTTGAGTCAAATGAACAACCCAATGTATGGTTTATATTTAACCCAGTGATATAGTTAATTTCAATCACTAGCTTGGGTCAAATAAACAAACCAGCACATGGGTTAAAATTATCCAGCCCAGCAAATGGGTTAAGACAGCCCAGCAAATGGGTTAAGACAACCCAGCGCGTGTTCTGTCCTATAGTGACTCAGCAGCTGGGTTATGATTGGGTTATTTTTTAACCCAGTAGTTTTAAGAGTGTAAGAAGAGCAGGAGTTGGTGATGAAGGTGGAGGATGAGGAGGAGGAATAAAGGTCTCTGATGCTCGGCTCTGGGTCAGCTGCTGTAGATCTGGAAGTCTGTGAAGTCCACCGGGACCTGGAGGAAACCTGAGAAACTGGCGGTAGAGTTTGACGGAGGTTGAAGATGGAACAGGGTTTTAGCAGTTAGAGGTCCAACAGGTGGGAGGTTTCCAGAAGAGGTTTTAGGTGGAGCATGCGTCTGCAGCTTCCTGCTGTCTGCAGGTGGAGGCTGGGTATGAAGGCAGAGTTCAGATCTGCAGCTGGAAGAGGGGGGAGAAGTACTCAGATCTTGTACTTGAGTAAAAGTAGAAGTACCAGAGTGTAGGAATACTCTGTTACAAGTAAAAGTCCTGCATTCAAAAGTTTCCTTAAGTAAAAGTACAAAAGTATTGGCATCATAAAATTCTTAACTTACCAAAAGTAAAAGTACTACTCGTGCAGAATGCACCATTTCAGAATAGTATATATTATATTTTTCAATTCTAATGATTGATGAATTCAAGTGTTTATCAAAGCTGGTAAAGGTGCAGCTAGTTTTAATTACTTTGTATGCTGTGTATATCTGTTACACATCACAATATATATATTTCATTTCAATGTTTTGTCAGTGGAATGAGACAACAGAAGTAAGAAGATTAAATGGAAACGTTAAAAGAAAACAGCTGGGGATTGATGCTCCTTGCTGCTCTCCTCCAGGAGGAGGCGCTGCAGGACAAACACAGAAGTGGTTTGTCAAGGTTTCCATGTGAAGAACCAAATAAATGTAGAGAGATGAAGCTGCTGTAACATGTAAACACGTTGTTGAGTGTGTGTGTTGTCCCAGGTGTGTGTTCAGAGTATACAGAGTGTATAAAGACTGGGTCCCGCTGTATTGCTCAGGCTTCACTACAGCGTCTATTCACAGGCGCGATCCCACTACTGAGCGGCACGGGGGATTTGACCTGCTCCGTGTCCGACCTGGGCCGATGCCCCCCTCCTTAGACGACCTGGTGGTCCCGGGCTCCACCAGGAGCACCATATCGATACCGAACTTAGTGCGGACACCCGTTCGACATAGTCCCTGCAGCTCAGAGCTCCTGAGCTCAAACGCTCCTCCAGCCTCAGCCTCCCGGTAACTGGGATTACAGGCGCGCACCACTGCACCCGGCGAGAGGACTCTGCACGGGAGAGGGTTTGGGGTTTAGAGACGTGACGTCATGTCTTGTTTTGCATTCACACACAATGATATTCTTCCTCTCTTCATCACTTTCCAACTTGTTTATCAAATTCATCTGATGATTTGTTTTGCTTAAATTATTGGGAAGTTTCATTTAAGAACATTTTCCATTAGACAAGTAGTTAATGCCTAAAACTATTTAGATGTATCAAGTCTTTTCCAGTCATTTTCAGTTTTTATCAGTAAAAACATTTATAGATTTGAATGTTTTATATTATTTAGACTCGTTCACTTCTGGACGTTCTTGCGAAACACATGAAGTCTTTCAAAGACGGCGAAGTTGTGAAAGAAGCATTCCTGGAGGCTGCGGACGCGCTTTTTGGGGACAGTAAAAAATAACAGTATCATTTCAACAGGTTTTTGATATAATAAAAACTCAAGTTAGATACCGTTATTAATCAGCTGTAAGTTTTTGTTTGTTTGAACTTATTCATTATAATTATTGAACAAAATGGTATAAGAATGCAAACATTAAGATCTGTTCTGTTTTAATTGATTATAGTCTATTATCAATTCAGGTTAAGAAACTACTGTTGCTTGCATCCTATTTTAAAGGCTAAAATGCAACAAAAAAAGGGTTTGTTTCTATTAATAAGTCTTTTTTATTGCACTCTGGCAGCAGATTCCTGTGTAGCTTCAGATCTGAGTTGTCTTATTAGTAAGCCTAATTTATACTTTTGTAGCAACACTATTTTTATATAATGGCAAAGAAAGGTTTCAGTGTCTTTTCTTTTTTTCCTGTGTCATATGTGGCAGCACTGTTCAATGTTTCTTGAAAACATTACCCACTGTAGTATGTGACGTGTGAATAAACTCCAACTCTGTATCAACAACACTGTTGTGTAACTTCAGTTAAATACTTGTATGTGTGTAGATTAGAAAGAGGTAAGATAAAGGATCTGCAGTATTTTATGAAGTATTAATCGTACAAAGGTTAGTTTTATACAAGTAGAAGTGTGTATTTACCTGGTAGTAGGCTGTCAGTAATGGCTACGCCTCTCTATTTGGACTGGTAGATCTCGGCAGACTGGCAACTTTAAAAGTAGCTCTCGGTTCAAAAAAGGTTGGGCACCCCTGATGTAGCCAATAAATTCCACGTTGTTGGTAAAATAATATTTTACATCTTTGTAGTGTGTGTGTGTGCAGGGCCGGCCCTAGACGAGATTATGATTTGGTGCCCCCCCCCCCGCCCCTCCAAGCAATACACAATAGAATATATAAAGAATAAATGAAAAATCTCTGCAAAAGACCAATACACTACAAAAACTGAAGCGTATTGACATGTTGGTTATATACATAAAGAAGGTTTCAAATGTATTCATTATTGTATGAACATGTTTTAATTGGGGGGTGGACATCACATCCTCTAGGGGGGTCCGGGGGTATGCCCCCCCAGAAAGATTTGTTTAACATTTTAAAGTAAAATGCTTCAATCTGGTGCACTTTGAGCAGAATTACTAGAGACTAGATCTAGGGGGTACAACTCTAAAACACCCATATGAAAAAGATTGGTTTACATTTTAATAATCAAATAAGTATGTGAGCATAACCAATAACCTACCATAGCCAATAACAAATAAATGTAACGTATTTTATTTTTGTTGTTCATTCATATTTTATTTTACCTAGTTAACATTTATTTATTCATGCATATTTTTTAATATCTCCAGTTTTAAACTATATTTTTGGTTACTGTCCTATAGTATGCATTGGAATGATTTCAAACCTGTTTTTATTTATCCCAATAATTATAAAGGTGTGCCTTGGAAATATTTGTTTACATAAATTGTGACCAAACCGTTTGAGACCCACTGAGATAACTTAGACTAAAGTGAACTATCTAAACACTCAAGAGTCCTTTACCTCACTGAGCTGTAGTTATCAGCCTCAATCCAACAACAATCCGTGGTACCGATGAGCGCCCTCTCTCTCGTGCCCGCTCGGATGCTCGCTCGCACTTTGGCTGTGAGCTGCGGGCGCCAGATAAGTCAACATCCCCCACTTTCATCACTTACAGCCATGCCCGGCGCCGTGGGAGGGCAAATGTCAAATGGGAGGGCCAGGCCGGGCCAGGCCCTCCCATTTGACATTCCTGCCCTCCCCCAATAAACAAGTTTTTTATTATTTATCAATTTTTTTTTTTTTAAAAGATCTTTATTTTTTTAATTATAAATAAACTGAACTTTTATGCTACGATGTATGTGATGTCAGATAGTAACTAAAAAAAAAAATCGCAGGCTACGTCAAATAAATTCATGTGTCTGTTGTGATTTGTGATTCGTCCACATTTAGACCAATCACAGCGTCACACTCTGCCGCCTATTCTGGATTTGTTTATTGTGCATTCTGTAGACTCCCATTTCTGTTTGAATTACAAAATGGACATCAGAAATTGGCTTAAAAGGTCTAAGGATTTATTAAAACGAAATAGCGATGAAAGAACTGCAGCCGATGGTGCTGCTGGCGACCCTGCAGCACGCCTTAATGTCACAAGCTTGACCTCGGCAAACCCCGGGGCTGAGTTAGCGAGCCCAATCCTTGACTCATCAAGGCGGGCGCCACCAACGCTGTCCTCCGAGGCACAGCTCCTTGTGCCCCTACCATCACCACCTGCGTTGCCACACCCTGTACCACACCCGCCAGCATCCTCCTCCTCCGTGCCGGTGCCTCCACTACAGACGCTACCTTGCAGCACATCAACAGGTACTATTGGTACGCTCAAAGACCAACAGCCCCAGATGATCTTGGGGTTAATAAACCCAACCAGGTGAAACTGGATCGTTATTCAGAGAGATTGTTTTCAGGAAAGAAGCACACTGTTGCCACTGCATGGTACAACAACAGACCATGGCTTGAATATTCGCTAAAAGCAGACGCAGCCTTTTGTTTCCCCTGTAGACAGTTTAAAGTAAATACGTCTTCATCTGATGCAGCTTTTACTGTCAAAGGTTATTGCGACTGGAAACCCGCATTACAGACTGATAAAGGACTGCTAAGACATGCCGCATCAAAAGAACACATTTCATGTGAGAGTTTGTGGAGAGAGAGACAGATACGCGAGGAAACAAATAAGGAAATTAGTACTTTGGTGCACACAGATCAGCTGGCACGGAACCGTTATTACGTGTCAGCTGTCGTTGATATTATAGCTTTTTTAGCTGTCAACCAACTCCCTCTCAGAGGTGACCACGATTCACTCCACAGCATGTCCGAGTCAGGCAGTGGGCTCTTCCTATTGCTGTTTGAGTATACGCTGCACAAAGATGCAGAGTTGGCCTTGCTGTTTGATATATATTGTGCCGCAGGCCCGCAGCACATGACGGTTTTGTGTGCCCTCCCATGAAAATCATATGCCCTCCCTTTAGATTTGTTCTGGCGCCGGGTCTGCTTACAGCGCACATCGTACAGGGTAAATGCAAAATGTTGCCGGCCCGGGGTGCAAAGGGTGTTTACTTTATTCAATTATTAATGTAAATGTATTACATCAAGGGCAGAAAATTAGGCAGAATAAAAAAAATTAATTAATTAATTTTCTTTTTTTGTATTATTATTATTTTTCTCCCAGCGCAGCGCCCCTCCAGATCTGGCGCCCTAGTTGACCGGCTAGTTCGCCAGTGCCTAGGGCCGGCCCTGTGTGTGTGTGTGTGTGTGTGTGTGCTAGTGCTTTTGTGCGTGCTCTATAGTGCCCGTAATAGTGTTCACTGGAGTCCATTGTTATGCCACTGTTGCCCCTTTCACACCGGCGCTTTTCCAGCTCCTGCTGGGAGCTAGAGCCTGAAAAGCGCCGGTTTTTCCTGTTCACACCGCAGCGGCGGCGCGTCATAGCTCCGGAATGCGGTTCACTTCCAGCTCCAAAAAGTTGTCGGTCCAGAGGCAAGAGCTTTGGAGCTATGACGCGGCGTCGCTTACGTCGAGGCGTGCAGGAAACCTTACTTTGACCATCCGTTCGCTGTTATTGATCATTGTGGAGAGCAGGCAGACGTTTTGTTTGTTATTATAGCAGCTATCGGATGGAATCAATACATGGGCTGTACAGGTTGTCATGTCCGACTATCACAAGTAGAATCATAATGAAAAATACGCCGGTAAAATGTGCCTGGAGAAAACGGCTTAGCAAGTAGTCAGTTTAGCTTCGGTTGCTATGCTAACATCACCCATGTTATACCAGAGAAACTTTCATAACAGCGTTGTGATGCCAAACAGCGTCAATTCAGACTGACACACATTCACTTAAGGGTAACTGGGGATATGTATCAGCTGCTTGTGTGACAGTCAGACAGTGAATACTTTAGAGCCGCTAACGGGAGAATAAACTCCCGTTGAAGAGCAGCCAGCACTGTAGCGGTCGGTAAATGCCGCTGAAACACATTAATAAACAATGAACCACGGCACTCTGGAGAAAAGTATAATGGTGGAGAAGCCGTTATTTAATTTAATCTGGCTTCGTATGATTAAAAGCAACACGATCGTCGACCCGACGCAGTCCCCGGCCCGTTGTTGTTGTGGGAGAAAATCTCTCGGCAGCTCTGGGCGGTGTGAACAGAGCGGGAGCTGAAAAGGGAAACCGGAGCTGAACCAGAAAAGCTCTCGCTAGGAGCTAGAAAGGGAAAAGCGCTGGTGTGAAAGCCGCATGTGAGTGTGTGGTTTCTCCCCCCCCGTTGGTGCGTAATTAGCACATCGGACAGCACCTCAGCACCCCCACTCAAAATACCTTCCCGCGCCTCTGCTTCTGGTGAAGTCTAACGACTGGCATACATTTATTGCTAAAACTGAAAGTTTAACTTAGAAATGAATGCTGTTCATTTATGATTCTCAGTATGAACATCTTGACATTTGTATAGTAATACAAGAATAAGAGTGTGTTGTTTTTTACAGTACACATAATTATGTCCTAGAGACGATATAAATACTTCTCCCATGTGCTGTACATTTCTTAGTTACACCTCTGAGTAAAGTGGATGTTACGTCAGCTACCTGAGAGAACAGGGCTGCTCTGTAGTAGCCCCCTCTCACCAGAAGAGGGCAGTGATGCTCCACTGACTGTCAGCTGCAGTTAAACCTAAGAGGAGAAGAAGAAGAAGAAAAAAGCTCACCCACAGGTTTGTTTCCGGGTCAGCGCGTCACGTTGCCACACTGTAAACACAGTCCACACTCAGTTTAAACATAATCGTTCAGAATAAGTGATGTACTGCGGTTTCTCTTGAGGTAGGTAACCATTTTTCACTTTAAAAATGTCCGTTTCTGTCTGACATACAGTGACTTTAAATCACTGGATATGTGTTGTGTTGTTAGTTCAGTGCTGAATGTTTCCACAGTACAGCCACCTGTGAATGAACCACCAGCGTGCTGTTACTTCTAATAGGGCTCTTTTTCATAGTTGTGTTTAAAAAAAGATGTGTAATTCAGAAATGAAGTTGGGAGACCATGCTCGTGAGATTTTGTTTACTTGCTCATTTTTTTCTAGTGTTTTACAGTCACCATAGATAACTGTTAGCTCATGATAACTGCACATCACTTTTAGTGCTCATAAAATGACTATGTATATCGAAGAGCTAATGCTAGTAATAGTAATTATTTCCTACATAAGCCAGCTCCAGATGTGAGCATTTGCTATAGTCTGATCAGTCTTGTTTGTTTACTTTTTTATGAGAATAATGTGGTGTAAAAAACATTTAAAAGCATAGATTGTTCATTCTCAGTAAGAGGTAAGACAGTCTGTCATTTGTTAACTACTACTGTAACATCACAGAGATGTGTGACAGCTGATTTATTTGGGGCTTGATGCATTGTTGACCTGCAGGACTAACATATGCGATCTTCAATATGCTTAACTCTAGGTTCCTTGACATATACAGTCTTTCCTGATTTGTGGATTATTTTAGGTGTGATACATGTATCACACTTTTGTATGTATTTTAGAAGAGTTATTATGTGATAAGAGCAAATGCATTGTTTTCATCACACCATTAGGCTGTTGGGAAGTTGTATTTGATTGTGTAGAACTACATATAGGTCTACACCAGGGGTATCAAACTCAAGGCCCGTGGGCCAAATCCGGCCCGCGACTTCATTTTATGTGGCCCGCAAGAGCTTGCAAAGAATATAATATGTTTATTATACGGTTACATGCTACTTTACAGAAGCACGTTGCCCATAAACTACATGTCCCACAATGCATCTCAAATTTGACTTTTTTCTCAGAATTTGACTTTTTTTCTTCAAAATATGCTTTTTTTTCTCAGAATTAGTTTTTTTCTTCTCAAAATGTTACATTTTTTCTTCAAAATGTCACTTATTTTTTTTTGTTTTTCCAGAATTTGGCTTTTCTTTTTAAATCATTTTGTGACATTCTTACTGAAGAGACTTGCAATTATTTTCCCTAGACTTCTGCTTTCAGACGTAGTTAATTATGAAGTTATTACCCTATCCGATAATCATCCAATGCAAAGGCAATAATGTAATATATAATACATTATTTTATATATATTAAATATTTATATATGTATTTTTATATAGTCTTAAAGTTACAACCGGCCCTTTGACTGCAACCATAATGCTGATGTGGCCCGTGATGAAATTGAGTTTGACACCCCTGGTCTACACCGTCTGCTGTATTTAGAGATTCAGGATATATGCTGTGATTGAATTTCTCATGTTCCTTTTGTTCTTGTTGTCAGGTTGAAATAATCATGAAGAACAGAAGCGGGGGCTATGTGGACAACCGGCTCAAACAGAGAGTGGAGCAGGTAAACACCCATGGCCTCATTCTGACACTGCTGTATGATATCAGGTCTGTGGGATTCATTTAATAAACCATGTCCTTGTTATTCATTAAGTAACAAATAAGCAGTATAACGCCGTTAGCTCGTCCATTCCATTAACCAGGGATCTTACGATTGCCCATGATGAGAAGGGAGGGACACGGCTTATATCTCATTTTCTCCATTATCTGGACCCAACTCTCCTCCTTCTTCCCTCTGCATCCTCTCTGAAGTGATGTCACATAAATATCACAGCCTGGGTCCTTCTTTCATGCTGTGTCTAGTGTTATTTGTGTTTTTTAATGAGAATGCCATCAGAGACCGGGTCTGATTTTCTTGATGTTGAATTGTGTTTTCAGTACATGGCGACCTGCTCCAGTGAATATGTGGACCTGTCAGCCATGGCTGTGGAGCTCCAGAGACTGCACAGGCAAGTGCATCACAACTAGGGCCTTTCATCATTTGGTATTTCCAGCCAAAAACTTCAGAGACATGTTTTGTATATATCTGAGACCTATAAATATTGTTAAAAAGAGTATAATAAGTACAAAGTGGACACTGAGTGTGTATTAATGTCTATATAAACAATTCAAAAATGTTCTGTTTCTATTTCATCTTTAGAATGGATTACGGCAGGCGAAACAAAATAGCTTTCAGGCTTCAAGTAGAGAAAGGTAAGAGTGTACCGTACATTAGTGCCGTATCACACTGTGAATGTAGTTTGGCGTACATGTGTTTTCAGTCTGTGTGTTCCTTTTGTACAATTATTGCACTTGTTGTGATCTTTATAACATTTGTTTAATCGTACAGCGATGGTACCAACTCATCCATGCCATTGTTCATGATAAAACTCTGATCTGTTTTTCTTATCTGCCTCTACTAGTGTATGACATATTAATGAAGGACTCTGGGATAAATGATCTGGAGAACAAACACATGGCTAAGAGAGCAAAGCACGCCAACAAAGGCACGGGGTAAAGAACACCCTCTAGCACTGCTTCCCTCCAATGTACTTATATTCTATATACACAACTAATGCCATACAACGTGTGTGTGTGTGTGTGTGTTGACAGTGAAGGCAGCAGCAGCAGCTCAGAGGAGGACGGCGACAGTGATGATGTCATTCTGGAGGACACGGTAAGAATAAATGGGAAGGTTAAATCAAAAGGCTACGGGAAGATTCAGACCAAAAGGAATAAAGAAATGTGTTTATGGGAAGCTTGTTTAACTTATCTTAAAACACACAACTTTAGATAATTAAGTGAAATCACATGTTAAGCACTTAGAACAACTTGAATCCACCAAGGCTGTCCTTTCTAAACAAAATATATGGATAGATAGATGGATTTCAAAAAGATTCCTGCTCTAAAAGGGATGGCAGTTTCTTTATCAAGAGCCTTTTAGGTATATTTACAATATTTATCAGTGGTAAAAGGCTTTTAATATAACAATACAAGGCACACAAGGCAATCATCAAAACATGATTTGATTGATTTTGCTAACTTATAACTTAAAGGTCCCATGTCATGGCCATTTCCACTGATCATAATTACATTGTTGAGGTATACTAAAATAGATTTATACTGTGCAATTTTCCAAACTCACATTGGTTTCGCATACAGCATCTCTGTAAAGTGTGTGTATTCAGCAGTATTCACTCTCTCCACTAAACGGCTCGTTGCAGCTCTTGCCCCCACCTCCCTGTGAGCCCAGTGTGCTCCGATTGGTCAGCTCGGCCACTCTGTTCTGATTAGTCAACCACCAGAGAGGCTGCGCCCATGTCTAACAGTGCTTTTTTCGGCTCGCTCTCAGCGGAACATCAGTCTTATAATGGCCTCGGTACAGCCGTATATTTCATACGCTAACTAACCGAACTGTACCTACAACTGTTGTTATAGAAGAGTAAGTTATTTTTACCTGTAATAAACTACTACTGTTTGATGAGAAATCAAATCATGGTTTGCTATATATGAATGATATGTTATAGGAGCAAATAATTCAGGGAAGAAAGGATACTAAGTATTTCCATCAAACTTTATTTTTAGAAATGTACAAAATGAACATGTGTAAATATATAATACGAGGCATCAGAGTGGTCCTCCCGTCGTTTGTTGTCCGCCAGATACACCAGGAGTTTCCTGATCTGGCTGGACGAAATCAAATGCAAATCTCAAAATATTAGAGAAACTTAGTTGTTTTAGATTCGTTAGTAGTAGTTGTGGTAGGAGTGTGTATCTATCTAATCTATCTATCTAATCAACACAGTTAGCTTGCCAGCTAATATGCTAACCTACGTTTGCTAGTTGTTCAGTGTAATATGCCAATCTACTATGAACAACAGCTAGTCTAGGCTAGCAAGAACATGTTTACAATTGCAATCTTATACGGGTAGTCTTCTACGTTCGGTCATTCATTGTAGCTGGCATGAAAACAATGTTTTCCCTAGCATGTGTAGCTCTAGGTAGCCTTGTTGTTTAGCTATGTAGCATACACGCTATGAACGGTAGCTCGGTAGCATACACGCCAGGAACGCCAACTATAATGTACGGTAAATCACCCGGAGTATACTGTCTATGAGTATTTTGTGTGTGATTGCAGACATTCTCCAGCTATGAGATACATGTAAGGCCATCTGCTAACATTGGAGTTGATATATGGAAACGCTAGCAACTTAGTTAGCCCAGTTAGCATTGCTCGCACACACACAGACACACACACTGCTGGAGGAGCTGACAGGCTTGGCGATAAAGCTAGAACAAGCGAAACTCATCCTGAGCACACACAAACACTCGCAGCCGAAGTAAAAACAATAAGTGTGGCTTGATATTGAGTAAGAAAAAGGTTTATAACGCTGTGAGCATGGGTCTGCGGAGAGCATTTCAACGTAATAGTCCGAAAAACGTTTACCCATTTAAACAGTCGTGGTAGATACCTTGTTTGTTTTAAACATCATAAATACACAAACAACAATGAATACTTACAGGTTGTGTACCCGAATCTCCCGCTGGTCCAAACTAAGTAGGAACAGCATCGTTCTTCAGTGCCCTACGCTGTACATATCCGGCATGAATCCTGAAAGGTTTTGGGAAGCTTTGTTACGTGAAAGGCTGGCAGAGGGTGCGGCCATAGCTCTGGGCGTGGCTACTGGCCATCCCTACGTCACGATACCCAGGAAGTAAACAATGGAAAATGAGGAATCTCCAACGAGGCGTTTTGGGGAGGTATTTTCTGTGTTAGAGTTTTACTCGCTGCAGGGTGTATTTTGAGGGTTTTTGACTCTGCAGACCGTTTACATGCATAAAAACCTTCATAACACACAAGGGACATGACATGGGACCTTTAACTTAAGGCCGCTACACACCCACCTGAGACCAAAGAACGCGTACCGAAGGCGTCCCGACTTTTACGTCAGCTACGTCGCCTGCGTCGCCCACTACGCCGCCCGCCTACGAACACACCACAAATACTTCAGTCGACAAGTGGCAATAACTGTCCTTACCAGCAGGCAGCGGTAGTGTGAACAGCCAATCAGAGTGATTGCTTGGGCCGACTTTCTCTGACCTCCCGCGGCCGATTCAACATGTTGAAGAGGCCACGGGAGGTGTGAAAAGGTGCCGTAAAGAGGCGACGGTGCGGGACACACCAACCTGAGTAGGGCGCCGCGAATGCCCGACTGCCTCTGATGGCCTCTGACTCCCAAAATCGGGTTGGTGTGTAGCCAGCTTTAGGCAATATACCTCACCTCTAGTGAGGGGCCCAGCCCTTGGTAGGTTTTTCTGTATGTGGCCCTCGGTGAAAATAGTTTGGACACCCCTGCTTTACATAATCAATGATGGGCCTCCAAACAATCTCAAATGCTGTCTGGACCTTAAAATAATAATAATAATACATTTAATTTATATAGCGCTTCTATTTCGTATAAGGCTTCGCCCTCTAAGGCTATCGCTATTGGGTAATCCCACTGCGCATGCGCAGCACTGACAGACTTAATCCACGCCCACCTATGACGTGGGCCCCACCTACGGCCTCACTTCCGTATAAATAGGAAGTAGGCCCGACCAACTGCTCCCATTTTTCTTCAGCACTCCGTTGCAGAAGCACTGGCCCTCTGGCCCACAGACAGCGGAGAGAGGACGCTCTCGCTGCTGCGGCCGAGGATGATTAGCTAGTCCAGGAGTCTTACTCCGTGGACCAAGACCTTGATTTATGGGATCAGAGTGGCGGGCAGCAGTCAGGCGACTCCTTCCCCTCCATTCACGGATCACCATGGGGTTCCCCCGGCCCCATCCTCCCTCTCCTCCGGACGGGGGAGACAGGGCGGGGGCTCGGGGTCAGCCCGACATATGAGTTATGACCGGCTGTGGCTGGCTCGCTCCAGGGAGAAAGGAAGCGGCTTTACACAGACGATACAGGTAAGTACTGCCGGGGATGGGAGCACGCAAATGCGGCTCTCACTCCCCAGGTGTCGTGCACTCATTGTGTCCGTCTCCCTCTGGCCCACAGACAGCAGAGAGCGGACGCTCTCGCGGCTGCGGCTGAGGATGATTGGCTAGTCCAGGAGTCTTACTCTGTGGATCAAGCCCTTGATTTATTGGATCCGAGTGGCGGGCAGCAGTCACGGATCACCATGTGGTTCCCCCGGCCCCATCCTCCCTCTCCTCCGGACGGGGGAGACTGTCAGCCAGACAGCCGAGCCTATGGGTTCGGCTGCCGGGCTGACACCGGGTCACCGGGTCCCTCTATCCGCCATCTCGGATCTGCCGTATAGGCGGTATTCTCCAGGAACTCCCGGAGATCATCGGAAAGGCAGCCGCCTAATGAGATCTCCCCGTTCCCCCGGTTCAGGAGAGCTCTCCTCCGGATGACATAAAAAAGCTGTATAAGCGGCTGCCTCATAGCCTATCGGTTATTAGGCAGCAGGGCTCGTGGCACAAACCGGCTGTCTTTAAAACCTGTCGGTTGATTAGACAGCACGGGCTTGTTTCCTATGTCACAGATATACCTCCACACACCTCCGCTCATTCCTCAAGCGAGTTTGAGCGTGAACGCGCCTCAATGTCCGGTTTACGAGCCTTCTCTTAAACGGAGACATGATGAGAGCCGCTGTGCAATACAACATGTGGAGGTGCATAAGCCAGCTGGGGTTAACCGGTCGGTTAACAGACAGCGGGGCTCGCCGTTTGAGCCGGCTGTAACCTGTCAGTTAGCAGGCAGCAGGGCTCGCGGCACAAGCCATGCTGTATTTAACCAGGCGGTTATTAGATAGCAGGGCTTGACGTTTAAACCTGATGCTCCTAACCTGTCGGTTAGCAGGCAGCACGGGTTTTTTCCTCTGTCCCAGATGTGCCTACTACACACGGTCGTAATGAGCCCAGGGCTGTTATTACGCACTGTGTGAATAGCACTGCACACACCTCGCTCATTCCTCAGCAGGGTTGAGCGGGAACGCGCCTCAATGTCCAGTTTACGAGCCTTAACACTCCTAAACAGAGACAGGGTGAGAGCCGGTGTGAGATGCAGCGTGTGGAGGCCCCCTCCGGCTCTGACGTGGCTCGTCACCATGACAACCACAGCACTTTCCAGAGCATGTCGCGCGCTCTCAGAGTATTACTCAGAGGGCGGCGCGTGTGTTCGGTGGACAGATGGTTAATATTATGCAGCAAGGCCCACCGGGTAAGCCGGCTGCCCCTAACCTTTCGGTTATAGGCAGCATGGCTCGCTGCATAAATCTGCTGTCTTTAAAACCTATTGGTTTTTAGGCAGCTCGGTTTTTCTCCTCTGTCCCAGACCTACCTCCTACACACGGTTGTAATAAGCCCACGAGTGCCATTATTACAGTGTGGACAGCACTGCACCCACCTCCGCTCATCCCTTAGGGGTGTTGAGCGTGAACGCACCTCAAGGTCCGGTTTACGAGCTTTCTCCTAAACGTGACATAAATGAGAGTCTGTGTGAAATGCAGCGTCTGGAGGACTCTGGCGTGGCTCGTCACCATGACAACCACAGCACATCCAGAGCAGGTTCGCGCGCTGAGTGGACGGCGCGTGTGTTCGATGGACAGAGGGAAGTACTGTAATATGCAGCAAGGCTCCCCGGTTAAGCCGGCTGCCAATATCCTATTGGTTACTTGGCAGCATGGCTCGCTGCTTAAGCCGGCTGGGTTTTTTAAACTTATCAGTTAATAAAACAGCAGGGCTTACTATTCAATTCGTCTACCTTAAACCGTACGGTTATTAGGCAGCACGGATGTTTCCTCTGTCTCAGACGTACCTCCTACCCACGGTCGTAATGAGCTCACGCCCCCCAGGTGTCATGCTCATCTCCCTCTGGCCCTCAAACAGCAGAGAGCGGACGCTCTCGCTGCTGCTGCTGCGGTCGAGGATGATTGGGCAGTCCAGGAGGTTTACTCCGTGGACGAAGCCTTGAGTCCTGGGTCCGAGTGGAGGGCACAAGTCGGATGACTACGCCCCCTCCATTAATGGATCAAAAGGGCCATTATTACGCCTCGTGGGGACAGCACTGCACACACCTCCGCTCATCCCTTAGTGGTGTTGAGCGTGAACGCGCGGTTTACGAGACTTCTCCTAAAACGGCGACATAATGAGAGCCTGTGTGAAATGCAGTGTGTGGAGGGCTCTGGCGTGGTTTGCCACCAACCACAGCACATCCAGAGAATGTACACCTGGCGCTATCAGAGTATTACTCAGGGTGGCGGCGTGTGTGTCTGATGGACAGATGGATAAGAGGCGGATGGGCAGAGGGTAGTCTCTGCAGTTCGCCTCTCCCCCCCGCAGTTCTACGGGATAACAGGGAACCCTGTCATCCCAGGAACAGTGTGTCGCGCTCCGTGCAGAGCGGCAGGAACTCTGTTAAAGGAAGCCTTTTTCCAGGGTTCCTCAAGGGGAAGAAAATCAGGGGTTTTTACTCCCGCTATTTTCTGGTCCCGAAGGAGACGGGGCGGGGGGAATGAGACCCATCCTCGATCTGTCAGTGTTCACAAGGGAATGGCCTTTTCCCATGCTGACGATCAAACAGGTGCTGGAGCATCTGTCAAGCCTGGGTTTTCATTATCAAATGGAAGAAGAGCTGTCCTCTTCCCTCCCAGGTTATCATTTAACTGGGAGTGGAATTGAACTCAGCCCGCATGAGAGCGCGACTCTCACAGCGGAGAGGGGAGAAAGTGACAGCTCTCCTCCGGCGCGTCACACCCCGCGGGGCGGTGACAGCCCTCTCCGTGATACAGTTTTTAGACATGATGTCAGCTGGTCACGTGGTGATCGCCCTGGGTCTCCTTCACTTGAGGAGACTCCAGAGGTGGTGTATTCGCCTGCGCATCGACCCTGTGCGTCAGAGGAGACGCATGGTGTACATTCCTCCTTCCGTGGGTTTGGTTTTAACCTATTGGAAAAATCTCCACGTCTTGTCAGTGGGGGTGCCCCTGAGCAGAGTGACGTCACACACCGCAGTGTTCACAGACGCATCTCTCGCAGGCTGAGGAACGTGCATGTCGCAGGCAGGGGGGGGACAGTGGCCGGTTCATATGTCTCTCCATATAAACGTGCTGGAATTACTCTCCGTATGGAGAGTAATCCAGCATTCTTTCGCCCCGTTGCGGTACAATCAACATGTGTTGATTCGAACAGACAACAAAGCAGCGGCGGCCTACATAAATCGCCAGGGAGGTGTACGATCAGCGCAGCTGCTTCACACACCAGAGCATCATACACAGCCAAATGGACAGCGTTCCGTTTGACATGTAGGGAAAAGCCTGGACCCCGTTACGGTCACCCTGCCTCACGTGCTGTCGTTCCTCCAGCTGTTGCTGGACAGGAACTGGCTTATAGCACGGTCAAAACATATGCTGCTGCCATTTCATCTTGCCACGTAGGTTTGGTGTCAGCACGGTGTTAGTCACCCTCTGACAAAACGTTTTCTACGGGGAATACAGAGACTCAGACCTGTGTCACGCGCTTTGGCGCCTCAATGGGATTTGGCTTTAGTGTTACGCGCACTGAGAGAAGCTCCATTTGAACCTTTAGATCAGGTCCCCCTAAAAGTTCTTGTCAGCCAAAGTAGCTCTGCTCTTGGCTCTGACATCAGCTAAAAGCGGTGAGTGATTTGGCTGCTCTCTCTGTGGCTCCGTCATGTCTCCAGATCCAAGGAGATGGCTGTTTTGCGCCCTAGCCTGGTTTTTATGCCAAAAATTATCACAGGTCTCTTTTTTAGATCAAGAGTGATAACTTTGGAGGTTTTTTTTTCCTCCTCCTCACACATCAGAGGAGGAAGCCACATCTCATCTCCTCCGTCCCGTGCGCGCGCTGTCATGCTATACGGCATGCGCGGCTGTGTTGCGCAGTTTCCAGCGTCTGTTTGTGCATTACAGAGAGCGCTCAATGGGGCAGCCTCTGTCTGCACAACGCCTGTCACACTGGCTGTGTGAGGCTGTGTCACAGGCGTATGTCTCCTCTGGGGCGGATCCTCCGGAGAACATCAAGCGCACGGCACCAGAGGAATTGTATCAACCTCTATGGTGTTGCACGGAGGACCGACAGTGGAAGACATTTGCATTGCTGCATCTTGGTCTTCCCCCTGTTCTTTTATTCGTTTTTATTTGAGGGATGTCTCCCATTCCTCTCTGACACACTCAGTACTGAATGTCCTGTCAGAGTGAGTAATGTCGGGGACACAACTGTGTGCCCTCTCTCCTGCCTGTCGGCACTCAGAGAGCTGCCCTGTTTCCTCTCTCTTTTCGTTGTAACAAGTGGGACTTTGGTCTCTACTTTTTATAACGACAGGTATTCACCTTCATTCCCTCATGGAGAATATTCATTTTAAATGCTACATTTCCAGGGACTGTGATGCTCCATTACGCATGGCGCAATGGACATGGGTTATTAAATTGAGTAGGTGTGTTTTTTGTGCTCCTGGTAACTGACGGACCAGTGGGGCGTGGACTACATCCTGCTTCGCCCTTAACCCAATAGCGATAGCCTTAGAGGGCGAAGCCTTATACGAAATAGAACTGGGGTTACGTATTGTAACCCAGCTTCTATGAGTATAGGCGCAGCCCTCTAAGGTTCGGGCCCCACTGGCTCCGTGAATAGCTGAAGAAAAGCTGTTGGCGTGGGAGCAGTTGGTCGGGCCTACTTCCTATTTATACGGAAGTGAGGCCGTAGGTGGGGCCCACGTCATAGGTGGGCGTGGATTAAGTCTGTCAGTGCTGCGCATGCGCAGTGGGATTACCCAATAGCGATAGCCTTAGAGGGCTGCGCCTATACTCATAGAAGCTGGGTTACAATACGTAACCCCAGTTCTTATCTGCCAAGACAAATCTCGAGCGCTTCACAACAAAGGACACTGATACAATTTGAGAGATAAAAATAAATAAATAAAATAAAATAAATAAAATAAAATAAAATAAATAAATAAAATAATAATAAAATAATAATTAAATAAATAAAATAATAATAAAATAAAAGTCGGAGATAGCGATAAAAATTGCAGTACTCCAGGTGTACCATGCTCAAAGTTTATTGGAAGGCCTGCCGAAAGAAGAGGGTCTTAAGGCCGGTGTTGAAGACTTCGGTGGAAGGGGCAGATCTCAGCTGATCTGGGAGGGAGTTCCAGAGGCGCGGGGCGAATGAGCAGAAGGCTCGGTCTCCCATTGTTCGGAGACGTGTGCGGGGGATGTAAAGAAGAGGAGCGTGGCTGGAGCGGAGAGAGCGGGTAGATGTCTGGGTACGGATGAGGTCACAGAGGTATTTTGGGCTTTGTCCATTCAGGGCTTATAGGATATCTTCTCCAATGGGAGGCCTGACAGCATCCGTTGCAGCCAATGAGTGATGCTTGGGCTGTGAGCCTTTTTCCAAAGCAATGCAATACAGGTTTTGGCGTAGAGCAAGCTGAGGTCTATAAATGTTCGCTCACTATATGTTTGCTCTTCTGGATACAAACCCAGCAGAAAACACTTTGGATCCAGTCAAATCGGCTTTGAACTGATCTTCTCTATTGCACCTCTTCCCAGCACACTTGAATCTTTCTGCGGAGAAAGGCTTTTTGAGATCATGGAACAAAGGAGACAACTAGTAGTGTGTCTTCCTGTATTTTTGGACCTGCTTGTAATGTGCTATTTATATTGTGTATTATGTTTTTATTTTTAAATGTTAAAAACGTTACCCTTAATATTTGAAGCATCTTGGAGTACCTCGAGAAGCCCTCTATAAATGAAATGTATTAGTATTGCCTTAACCTCAATAATAATATATAACTGGTTTGAAAGAAGTATATCGACTCTTTTGATATAGCCAGGCCCATCATTTCCCTTTGTTCTAGTTTTTCGCGAAGCTAAACATATCCTGGAGCTATCTCTGTACTAAATACTAAATACTAAATACAATACTCTAAAGCGCTTCGAGATTTGTCTTGGCAGAGGAGAAGCGCTATATAAATTACATTTATTATTATTATTAAATGGAGATGATGGATGTAGATTTGGATTGCCCTCACGCACATTTCCCAAATATGGGACTGCTTCTTAAAGGTCACCTATTATGCAATATCCACTTTTTCATGTCTTTTATACATAAACATGTGTCCCCTCTTTGTAAAGAGATTCTGAAAGTTTCAGGGAAAAAGATTCTCTCTCTTTTTGTCCTGTATATATCTGAGACCTATAATATATTGATGAAAAATAGTATAATAGGGAACCTTTAAAGAGTCCTCTCTGACAGTGAGATCTGATTATGCTATGTCTCTGTTTTTTGCCCTCCGCAGCCGATCAACCACATGAACAGCTCCCTAACGTCTCTGTACCGTAAAGGAGTCCCTGAGTCGGGCTCCGGCTCCCCCAGGAGAGATCCTCCTGCTGCCAGCACTCCTGGCGGCGCAGCCAGCACCCCCCCCACTGCAGGAACACAGGTGTCCACAGGAGGCTGGTTCATTGACAAAGGCAGAGGCCCAGAGGAGCGCAAAATCTTAATCGACCTGTGTGATGATGTAAGTTCCTCTGGAGGGGGGGGGGGGGTGTGTGTGTATTTAGAGACATACATTGTGCATAAGGAGGTAATAACTGTTGGTTTTTGTAGTTTTCTCCTGTTTTGTGTAACTTACAATACTTGTTTGAACAGTGTCTGTATATATGATTTGGATTAATTGTCATTTCCTTTTTTTTTCTTTTTTTTCTATTTCCCACAAAAACGTGTATCTTTCAATTACAGCAAAAAACCAAGTGAGTAATGATCTCATATTTCTGTCCCCAGCAGACGGATGTGTCCATGCTTGAGCCGGAGAAATCTACCAAAAAGTCAAAGAAAAGGACAAAGGTCTCTGAAACTACTGTGTCCCGCACCCCAAATAAGAAAGGTCAGCCTCGTCTAGCTTTCCAGTATAACTTTAAAGTAGAGCTGCAACTATTTTTATTATGGATTCATCTGAGAAATATTTGATTGATTCATCGTTTTGAGAAACTGGAGAGGCTTCTCAATACCCTAATTTCCCCTCCTCGACTCCTATCCTCGTGTCTTAGTCCCGCCCACAGGAGATGCGAGCAGGGGAACCGAGGAGAGAGGAGGGGAACCGAGGAGAGAGGAGGGGAACCGAGGAGAGAGGAGGGGAAGCAGCAGGCGTTTAGAGAAATGAGAACTCCTCTCCTCTGAGCGGTCATTTTAAAGAGACGTCCATTAATGATGACAGGAGGCACAGCAGCCCTCTGTCTGATGGACAGATGTGTTCATGACGACTTATATATTTACTTTTAATTCATTGACAGTGCGGTATAATGAGACAATAACAGGCTACAGATGCGGACATACACACACAAATATATTTATATAAATATATACAATTTAAAGTATGAGAGCACTCTCATAATAACGTAACACAATCAGAGACTGGATATATCCCCCCCCCCTCTCTGGTCGCTGAAATGGGGAATTGAAATTACGGGCCAAAAGTTGTATTGACAAGTATTAAAAGTAAGCATAGGACACCAAACCAACTGAGACCCGTCTGTCCGCCGCATCTACGCACTGTACAACACACACCTACACACTACCACACACACACACACCTACACACTGTACCACACACACACCTACACACTGTACCACACACACACCTACAGCTCCTAAAGCATAATCAGGCTACAGCTGTTGTGTATTTTATTATGTGAAGCACTAAATGGTCTTAGAAAAATATCGTCTCTTTGTTTGTAGATATCTACTAAACTACAGCATACAAATACAGAGAGTAATGTAGGCCTGTTATACTGAGTGATATATATTTTACACACTGCTCTGCTTTCTGCACGGACCTCACAGCTGTTCTCACTGTAAACATCGCGTCGCGATGAAAGCAGTTACTAAAATAATATCCATGGGATGCATGCAGAGCTGTGATTGGCTGAGATAAGTCCGGCCGTGCGACACGACTCCACCGTTCCCGGAAATGCATCCGCGGAGGAGCCGTGGAGGACCCATCAGTGTATCCTCGGTTAGAGCTCCTCCAGAGAGCCTCCTCGATGCTCGATGCTCGGTCCTCGATGTGCATTTAGAGAAATAAGATGTCCTTCAACATGGCGCGCTGAAATCCATTTCCGGGTCACTACCGGAGGACCGAGGAGTCGAGGAGGGGAAATTAGAGTATTGAGAAGCCTCTTGGGATAACATTTCCTCTTTCTGCCATTTTGCATGACAAATTACGTAAGGATTAACTAAATATTTGCAGATTTTTTTATTCTATCAATCGATTTATAAAGACGAATTGTTGCACACACTATTGAACACCACTCAAAAATATAATTTATATTCCCTGTATGGCTGCAACATACAATTCTTCTCATAATTAATGGACAGATGATATTTATTTCATTATTTATTGTGTAATGTATTGACTATGGTTGTTGAATTGCTAGTTGACACGTATGTATGAACAGTATTGGCTGTGAGGTTCCACTATGTTGCATTCACAGTATTTTCTCTTTGTAAATGATTTTTCAGCAAAATCAAAATCACTCGAGCTGCAGTATCCCACTCTGAAGTTTGAAGATGTGGGAGGCAATGAAGAGACGTTAACGGTAAATATATATTTGAAACCTTTCTTCATTTATTTTACACAAAAAAAGCTGTTATTATTATAGAGTTATTTCATATTATCCGTTGTGACTAGTTTGAACCTGTACTACTTTGCCCCTGCTGCAGGAGGTGTGTAAGCTGCTGATCCACATGCGTCACCCGGAGGTGTACCAGAGCCTGGGGATGGTTCCTCCCAGGGGCTTCCTCCTGCACGGACCCCCCGGCTGTGGAAAGACCCTGCTGGCCCAGGCTGTGGCGGGGGTGAGTGCTGGACAACGCCTGGGGAGAACATGTGTACACACTCGCATACAAAAAGAAGATTTAGGTGACTTTGAACATAGAATGGTTGTTTTTTTTGTGCTTTTTTAATAAAGTGATATATTTTGTGTGTCAGGAGCTGAAGCTGCCCTTGTTGAAGGTGTCGGCTCCAGAGCTGGTGTCTGGAGTGTCGGGGGAGTCTGAACAGAAGCTCAGAGAGCTGTTTGAACAGGCTGTGGTTAGTACTAGTTTTCCTCTTCTATAGTGATCAACACAAGTCAAGAGATTGGAGGAGTTGAAGTCCGCACACGTCTCGCTGTAGGATTAAATAAACAGGTCATTTGGATAAATGATAGATAATGTTGCGTGCGTCTTCCCCCCTCGCAGAGCTCTGCTCCGTGTATCATGTTCATAGATGAGATCGATGCCATCACACCAAGGAGAGAGGTGGCTTCGAAAGACATGGAGAGGAGGATCGTAGCCCAGCTGCTGACCTGCATGGACGGTAGGACACACTGACTCCAGAGCAGCGTCACAATGTGTCCTCTTCTCAGAGACTTTATTTATAGGAAAAGCTACCTTTCATTCAGCATATCCAGGAAGTAGCCTCTACACCATCACTGAAACACATGAGCACATACTACAGTTTAAAAAAGCAGAAATAAAATCTGAGCTGACAGAAAATGCTCTGTTTTAGTTTAATACACACAGTTAAGCTCACACACAATATTTTATGAACATATAGGTTCACCTACTGAATTAAAAACAGAACAAATGAACCAAAGAAAGTGAAAACCATAAAGCAGATTCAGGCAGTAGGCGTAGATTCACACTTAGAGTATTACCCTACAGAACAGTACAGCTGACAGAGAAGAGATAACATCTGATCCTTTACAACAAACACTATATGCTATTTTTAGTTCTTACTAACATTGTAATCCTGCTAGTAATCCCCAATTTTGAGAAATGTAACAGTAAAGAATAACGCCTTTTTAAGGTAACTGTAAATTAAATAAAGTGAACTTATCGTGATAACGTAATCCTGTTACATGTATGCGTTACTCCTCAACCTGGCGCTCAATCATAATCTGAATCGCGCTAAATTAGGCTCATTAACAGCTGGTGGATATGTGATATTAAGCAAAAGGTGAAGCAACTGCCAACACTTAGAAAAGAGAAGAGATACAGAAAATGACTTGCTCTCCTCCTGGCAGACCTGAACAGTCTGACGGTGACGGCTCAGGTGATGGTGATCGGGGCCACCAACCGGCCGGACTCCCTGGACCCCGCCCTGCGCAGAGCGGGGCGCTTCGACAGAGAGATCTGCCTGGGGATCCCTGATGAAGCAGCTCGACTCAGGTCAGACCATAGAGAACGAGGATGTACATTAGGATGCTGAATATTGTATTGCTTTTGCCAAACGATCGCCTCTGTGGTCGCTTTCACACTTTGAAAAGTAAAAACCGAATTCTCTGTTCTGCAGGATCTTGAAGACGCTGTGTCGGAAGCTGAAGCTGCCGGAGGACTTTGACTTCAAGCAGCTGGCCCGCCTCACTCCGGGCTACGTGGGGGCCGACCTCATGGCTCTGTGCCGGGAAGCAGCCATGAGCGCCGTGAACAGAGTTCTGATGGAAAGAAGAGCATCGAGCCAAAGAAAGAGCTCCACTGAAGAGACTGTAACAGGTGGAGCTCAGGTGGAGGAGGCTGTGACAGACGGAGCTCAGGTGGAGGAGGCTGTGACAGACGGAGCTCAGGTGGAGGAGGCTGTGACAGACGGAGCTCAGGTGGAGGAGGCTGTGACAGACGGAGCTCAGGTGGAGGAGGCTGTGACAGACGGAGCTCAGGTGGAGGAGGCTGTGACAGGCGGAGAGGTCACAGAGACACAGACAACAGACCTCACCCCCCCGCTGCCTCAGGAGGAGGCGGGGCACAATGACCTGCAGGTATGGGGGTCTCCAACCACACATCTGTTTCATTCCACTCAGAAGGATACTGTACTTTTATCTACACATATAAATATAAACATTGTTACCGATGTTGGCAGTGAGAGCTGTGGTCAAACCCCGAATTGGTGTTTTATTTCTTCGGGGAATTCTGGAGCATTTGCATTAGTAATGCGGTTGCATATAAGTTACAAAACAATTCACCTTTAGAACTGAGAAGATCATATACGATAATGTAGGTCTGTCGCCCTGCTGTGTTTCCAAACATTACTGAACCTTTAATCACACCAGAAACATTAATAATGTAATGTTAGGACCTGTCAGTTATTTTGAGAGCATTTTCTCGTTCTGTAGTTTTGTATTTCCTTGCCAGTTATTGAGGGCATGTTGTGTGCTGTGTCCAGCAGGGGGAGCTGTGGCACCTGCTGCAGCTGCTGAACAGCACTGAGACTCTGTCGGAGGAGGAGCTGGCCGGCCTCTCCATCCTCATGTCAGACTTCCAGGTGTCTCTGGCCAGCGTGCAGCCCTCAGCCAAGAGGGAGGGCTTCGCCACGGTGCCCGACGTCACCTGGGAGGACGTGGGGGCGCTGCAGGACATCAGGGAGGAGCTGACCATGGCCATACTGGTAATCATCATCATTCTTCATGTTAAACATCTATGATCCACACCGAGAAGATCCATCTATACTCTACTCTGAGAAGAATATTTAGCTTGGGTCAAATTGGGTCAACACAATGGGATTAAAGAGGCCCTATTATATTTCATGGGGTTTCCCCTTGTATAGGTTTTTGTGCATGTCAATGGTCTGCAAAGGCTAAAATCCCAAAGTTCCCTCCAGATGTTGGCTAGAGCTCCAACACATTGTACGTGATAGGCAAAGGGGCGGGACTATCTAAGAGGTTGACCAATCACAACAAAGCCGTCCAGCTAACCAATCAGAGCAGACTGGGCTCTGGTTTCAGACAGAGGGTGAAAAGAGGTGCTGCAGTATGAGAAAGATAAATACCTTTTTGAACATTAGAGCATGGAGACACGTCACAGTAGTAGCACACAATACAAATATGGACCTGAACATGTGTATCATCTGTCCTCTTAAAAGCAAAGGAAACAATTGGAGGTTGAGGCACCCACCTCAGGCCAGCTTTTATGGATTTCTTAGCTCCGCCTCTCTAGGAAGCACAAAATGTGTATTTTCAAAACTTTCGAGAACAGCTTGTGGAAGACACGGGTGACCTGCAGTGAGTGCACAGCGTTAGATAGGTGGGGAAGCTGTCAAGACGCATGGTATTTCTGGGTATAAACAGCTCTGATCAAAATGAAGACCGCTGCTAAGATAACATGTTGGTGCTTTTTATACTAAGAAACAACATCCTTCTCATTGTGTGTCCTGCAGGCTCCGGTGCGTTCTCCGGAGCAGTTCAAAGCTCTGGGGCTCAGCGCTCCATCCGGGGTGCTGCTGGCTGGACCTCCAGGCTGTGGAAAGACCCTGCTGGCAAAGGTGAACCCACCCCCCCCCCCCTATCTATATAACTGTTTTATTACAGAAATAGTTTTGGGAAATAAGCTTACATGCTTTCTTTCTGAGAGAGAAATGATGTGATCTATAGTACTATTCATGATTTGGTTAGCGTAGCTTAGCATCATACTTAGCAAGAGGAAATGGCATTGGATAGAGCCAAGCTAACCGATAATCATGAGGTATCGAGTTGGTTGTTTTGTCGGCGTCCAGATTTTCTTACTCTGAGCCCAAATGTCCCCCCGCTGTTTCTACATAATGAATAGTCGGGGGTGTACTGTGTCTCACTGTGTGTTTCTGTGTTGTCTCCTGACAGGCAGTGGCCAATGAGTCAGGCCTCAACTTCATCTCTGTCAAAGGTCCAGAGCTGCTCAACATGGTAAGTCACCGAGCTGCAGGAAGATGGAAATGTGGCCGAGGCTGCTTGTGCATTATTTCACTGTTGGGTCATAGTACAGCCAACAGAGTGTCACTTATTAACCTTCAACCACGTCTCTGAGAGGCTCATTCAGTGAGTTCTGCTAGCATCACATCCGGTGTTTCTGTGTATTTAGCTCAGACTCTGCTCCTTTTTATACATTTTTCAATTTTTCCAGCCTGTTTTCATGATGATCCGTGTCATTCATTTCACACCCTTGCACTAAATATTGTAAAAGAAAGGGTTGATGTCAAACTCCTGGTTGTGTTCATTGATGCCTGTGTGTGCAGTATGTTGGTGAGAGTGAACGGGCTGTCAGACAGGTCTTTCAGAGAGGACGCAACTCGGCTCCGTGCGTCATCTTCTTCGATGAAATTGACGCTCTGTGTCCGCGCCGCTCGGGACACGAGGTGAGATACATGGACTTCATGATTTAGGAAAAATTCCATGAGCGTCATGTTTAAAATGTTACATTATGCATTGGAACACACCAGCCACGCTGTAGAAAGTCATGTCAGCTGGTGCAATTAATGTTCATACAGCTTTTCTTCTAAGACACCTCATGGCATGTGTGTGTATGAGCATTGTTTGTGTGTGTCCAGTCAGGAGCCAGCGTGCGGGTAGTCAACCAGCTGCTCACAGAGATGGACGGCTTGGAGACCAGACGGCAGGTCTTCATCATGGCTGCCACCAACAGACCAGGTAACCACAGTGACATGGCAAAATGTAGTGGGTTCAGAAATTAAGATTAAGCCTATTTCTTTTATTGCCTTTTCTCAACCTTTTTCTAAAACAACATGACTGTCTTGTCCCCTGCCAGATATCATCGACCCTGCCATACTGAGGCCAGGCCGGCTGGATAAGACCTTGTATGTGGGTCTGCCTCCTCCAGCAGACCGCCACGCCATCCTGCTCACCATCACCAAGGTACAGGCTCACCACAGAAAGAGGAGAGACGGAGACAGTCATATTACTCATCATGTGATCTAGCGTAGGCGGATGTTTTATGTTGAAAACCAGTACAGGGATAAATTGAACTGCTGCCACGTGAATGACTTGTTAGATATTTGTTATATTGCCATTTGTACTCCTATTGTATTTAATTTAAATCATTTATTTATTTCATTTTAATACAGAAACTGTTGGAAAACCCAATTTTCAGTGGGGAATAAAATATTCTGACTGAGGATTCTGATAATCTTATACACTGGGAATTCCTGAAATTATAAATCTTCTTTACCTGCAATTAACAATATGTCATTTATATTCAAAGCCGTTACTTGAAGTAGCAGTGATAGTATATATATTTTCTTCCCATCATTGTGGAAGCAATAGACAATCATAGAACACATGATTTCACAGGTTCTTCAAAATGAAGTCTTTCCCTAGAAATGTCTTCTATGCCCGCCAACATTTTAAAGACCCTTTTTCCGTTCACTGGTTCCACCTAAATTACCTCGTTATCCAGAAATAACTCTGCGATATTTCTATGACATGGATGTGATTTATTACAGTTACAGGCCTGAGTCTATCTTATCAAAGCCCTCCCTTTTTTCCTTTATTGTTATCTCTCGTAACAAAAAATTGTCCGGCTGTTTTCTATGGGCTCAGAACAGTCTCATCATACACACATGCACACAGAAGGATTCACACTTGTATTTCATGATCCGCAAAAGGATTCACACTTGTATTTCCGGATCCACACTTGTGTTTTTCAATGCACACACAAATGTGTTCCGTTTCATATTCATGTAAATAAAATCCAAATACAGAAAAAAGTTTTACATATGTATTTTTGATCCTCACATATTTGTTTTCCATTTAAATCCCCTGCACCTACAAACACAAACCGCTTTCTGTGCATGGATCGCTGTGCATTCGTGTGTGGGTTTTTTGAGACTCCCCTGACGGTGACCCGATTCGTACTTGTAATTTTTTCTATCTATAGCCAATCAGATGTCTCCTCAATTCTAAGCCAATCACATGAGCGCGTCCCCACGAGGGTAGATTTCTTGCGTTCATGACACTTCATTTTGCGCTGTCCGGAGCTGGGTTTCCGCGGACAGAATTTATTTTACCGGACAAATTTGAAACTTACCGGTCATGTTTCAATAATAATAATAATAATAAGAAGAAGAAGAATTGTGTAGCAGAGTTTCCGTTAGCAGGTAATTACCGGACTATGACCGGATGGCTAATAACACGGGAGTAAGGATCATCTTTTTTCCTCTCTCCCTCCCTCTCTCCTGACAGCCCGTCAGTTTCTCATGCAGCTCGCTAAAACTTCACTCGCGTTTATGTCCATATCGATCAGATCCAGCTCTCCTGATCGGCCTTTATAGAGAGCACCGATCAAACTATTAAGAGTGAATATCGGCCGATAATGACCGGCGGGGCTCCCCCCGTTGACAGTTCACTGTCTAGCACTGGCTTCGTAGTGCACTGATCGCTTAGGCTAAGCTAACCTGTAGCTGCTCCCTCCACACTCACAACAACTTCATACAGACATAAATAAAGCAGCTGTATTCGCCATACAGGAAACACACATTTAAAACGGTTTTGCCTGCCGTTTTTGTGTACACAAGCATCCATTAATGGTTCGGAAAGTGGCAATGTACTGAGAGTGGAGGTGTCCTGAGATTAGCGCCTGCAGGCAGGCTCCATGGACCTGTCAGCTCCGGACAGCGCAAAATGCGTATATGAAGCGCTACGTCATGAACGCAAGAAATCTACCCTCGTGGGGGCGCGCTCATGTGATTGGCTTAGAATTGAGGAGACATCTGATTGGCTATAGATAGAAAAAATTACAAGTACGAATCGGGTGGCCGTCAGGGGAGTCTCAAAAAACCCACACACGAATGCACAGCGATCCATGCACAGAAAGCGGTTTGTGTTTGCAGGTTCAGGGGATTTAAACGGAAAACAAATGTGTGGATCAAAAATACATATGTAAAACTTTTTTCTGTATTTGGATTTTATTTACATGAATATGAAACGGAACACATTTGTGTGTGCATTGACAAACACAAGTGTGGATCCGGAAATACAAGTGTGAATCCTTTTGCGGATCATGAAATACAAGTGTGAATCCTTCTGTGTGCATGTGTGTATTATGAGACTGTTCTGAGCCCATAGTTTTCTTTACATCCTAAACGTTTTTGTGATCCTCCCGTAAAAATATTTCACTTGATTGATTATTAACATTACCAGAATGAATAGATTGGAATGTAAAGATCTCCTTTCTCATTGCCTAGCTCATCAGTCTTCAACATGATCCCATTGCTAGGTTTATAACTGTGTGCTTCATAGTCATTGTTGAGGTTTTTGTGATCAGAAACAGGAAGGACCTTTGTCACTGGGAGGTGCCTTTAAGGCCCCTACACACCAGGCATCTTTTAAAGGGTCTTTGATACAACTGTGCTGCTGATCTTCTGTAGGGAGGGACCAAACCTCACCTGGAGCAGGATGTCAGTCTGGAGGAGATCGCCTTCAACGAGCGCTGCGATTGCTTCAGGTGAGTCTTACTGAACATTTCACACTGTTTCTGCCGCTTTTAGTCTGATTAATAAACTGGATTTCAACAGTGATAAAGGTGGACATGTTTTTTTCCCCATGTTCAATGATACAGATGTAGAACCTGTGTGTGTGTGTGTGTGTGTGTGTGTGTGTGTGTGTGTGTGTGTGTGTGTGTGTGTGTGTGTGTGTGTGTGTGTGTGTGTGTGTGTGTGTGTGTGTGTGTGTGTGTGTGTGTGTGTGTGTGTGTGTGTGTGTGTGTGTGTGTGTGTGTGTGTGTGTGTGTGTGTGTGTGTGTGTGTGTGTGTGTGTGTGTGTGTGTGTGTGTGTGTGTGTGTGTGTGTGTGTGTGTGTGTGTGTGTGTGTGTGTGTGTGTGTGTGTGTGTGTGTGTGTGTGTGTGTGTGTGTGTGTGTGTGTGTGTGTGTGTGTGTGTGTGTGTGTGTGTGTGTGTGTGTGTGTCAGGGGGTCACAGGTTCAAACCCCACTGCAGTCAGCATGTCGACACTTCACCCCAAATTGCTCCTGTGGGGATTGTCCACAGTACTGAGTATGTAAGTCGCTTTGGATAAAAGCGTCTAACATGTAATGTAATGTAATGTAGTGTGTGTGTTTGATGCAGTGGAGCTGACCTGAATGCGTTGGTGAGGGAAGCCTCTGTGAACGCTCTGAGGGAATACCTGAAGTCCCAGCCCACTACCACTGCTACACCAGGTAACCTGACTCCTACCTCAAATACCTGTATTCAGTATTTAAAGGGGCCCTGTTATGCTTTTTGGGGTTTTCCCTTTCCTGTAGTGTCTTCTATAGGTGTTGGTGCATGTAAATGGTCTGCAAAGGCTAAAAAGTTCCCTCCAGAGGGTGTTTCTCTCCCACACATTTCCCCACCCTGACTGAAACGCCTCCATTGGACTGCTTTGTTTACCTGCGTAACGTAGTGACATCACTATGTAACACTCTTGCTGCTATTGGCTAACGCTTCTACACATTGCACGTTATAGGCTAGGGCGCGACATCTCTAAGCAGTTGACCAATCGCCACAGAGCCGGCCAGCTAACCAATCAGAGCAGACTGGGGTGTCAATGTTGTTATTACAGGAACAATCCTTACAGTTCGTTTTAGACTACACCCTCCATATGCTAATATGCTAACAGAGTGACAAGAACTACTGTAATTAGCACATGGATGCTGACAGTAACATCATATCTTTTTTTTTGTTATCTCACATTGGACACTAAAACAGAGCAATTTCATTGCAAAAACGAGATAAAGTGTTCTAATCTGATTATTGGAAATTGCTATATTGAAAATGGTAACTTTCTCATGAAACACAACAAAAACATAACAGGACTGAATTCCTGCCTATTATTTATTTTGTTTTCATTGTTCCACACAGGACACACGTTCACTGCTGGCCCAGTTGTTGACATCAGAGTGAGCAAACTGAACTTTGAGGATGCCTTCAAGAAAGTTCGTCCATCTGTGTCCAAAAAAGTAAGTACACATTTTCTTGTAGCTCTAATAATAAATAATTGCACAGATGACTGCTGTTATCATACCTGAGTTTCATTACTGACCTCAAAATGATACAATTATAATAGCTTTAAACTGGGAAAATATGAATATGAATCAGACTCTAATCAGCCTATTTCACAGAAGAAGAAGAAACGTATTTATGAGAACCTTTACACCTATGAATTATATTTATATTCCGACTGTTCCTGTGTTCCCTGTGCAGGAGCAGAAGATGTACGAGCTGCTCAGAGAGTCCCTCATCAGATAACTACTGGACCAGAACCACAGTTCAACTTTAGTGAATCATTTTATGTAATGTATGTATACACATTTTATTATGTTGAATCATAACTGATTCCTGCTTTTGTAATAAAAAGTGTAGAAACCAAATATGTCTGTGTGTTTGTTAAAGGTTTGGTTAAAAAAAAGAATCCCAGCACTAACTGCTATACCATTGTTTTAGTAAAGACTAATAAAAAAAAATGTACATTTTAAAAGATAGGCTACATGGTATCATGTGTATGTTTACACCATATGTTTTTGGAAATGTAGCACTAAGGCCATATGGTCTTATTTAAAAATGTATTTAAGATCCAGGTGGCCTGAGGATAGGGGCCTGACAAGAGCCTGTCTTTGCTGACCTGGGTGACACTAGAAGCCTCTCCAGCGAGGACCTGTTGATAGTAAGGGGTAGTTATTTTCCTGCTTCTTCCCAAAGTCCACTATCAACTCTTTGTTTGCTGTCGTTCAGGAGTAGGTTGTTGACCTGAGAGGCAGCCAATCAGGCCCTCACTTCCTGCAGTCAGGCATTTACATTGTTCTCTGTTCTCAGGCCCAACACAGCTTTGTTGTACATCGGAAGGAGTGTACAGGGAAACCAGCAACGGGCTCAGAACGCAGCCCTGGGGTGCTCCAGTGTTGAAAATAATATTGGAAGAAGTGTTTTCCTCCGATCCTCCCCATGTAGTCAATTAACAGCAATCACACATAGCTAGCCATGTGTCCGGGGGTGGTGTGGTGTGGGGTTCGTGTGCTACGTCATCTTCCATTGATTGCTAGCGACGGTAGGCCCAAATATATAATATGATATTATCCAAAGCAACTTGTAAAAAGTGCAGTCAACCATTAGGATACAACCCAAATAATCACATGAAGAGTATATCAGTTATCATGACTGTTTCATGTTTCATTGCCAGCACAAAAAGCAATTACCAATGTATCAGTATACTGTATGTGTCGACATGGTGTTTCTTCCTTTGTTGTATATTGGTAGGGGTCTACAGGGGAAACAGCAGGGGGCTAAGAATGCTGCCCTGGGGTGCTCCAGTGTTGAGGATGATGTTGGAAGAGGTGTTTCCTTCTCCAAACTGCTTCATGTGTCATTGCTATCACCAGAATTGGGTGTAACGCGTTACTGTAATAATATTACTTTTGTCGGTAACGGAGTAGTGTAACGCGTTACTTTTATAATTCAGTAATCACACTACAGTTACTAACATTGCCCCGACACGCGTTACTTCGTTACTTTTATAAAATCAGTCATAATCACACTGACAGACAAGAGGGGTTTCCGCCGCAGGTTTATATGTACGTAATCTGCGCGACTTGCGCGTCCACATATCTACGTGCAGTGCTGCATAAACATGGCTGAGTCAGCGATAACTTTCGAGGGGTGGAGGTATGCCCATTATTTTGAGTTCGTCCGAAGAATAGACAGGAATGTGACGGTGAGGTGCAAACTGTGTCCAGGCCAGAAGCTGTTATACACTGCTGCAAACACCACGTCAAACCTCAACAAACACCTGCAAAGAACACATGCTAAGGTGAAGCTAATAGCTAAGGACCGGACCCCCGAACCCAGAGTGAGGATGTTGTGAGTCGCCGCCGCCGACTCCGAAGCGGCACAAATTAGAATTTGGAGGACCGGTAACCAAAGCAAAGATGGACAGGCTTGTAGCATCCTTCATAGTAGAGGAAATGTTGCCCATTTGCACAGTGGAATCACCATCGCATCGTTCAGAGATATACTGCGCAAAATACAGATAGCAGGAGACAGAGGACAGCCATAGTCAGATAGGAAAACATTCAGGAGCTATCTGGATCAGTCTTATGCGACAATGGAAACTGAACTAAAGAGAACATTTGAAACTTTAGCAGTCTGCGTGATCTGCCTGTAGGGAGGGGCGGGCCGGCCCTGCGAGTAAAGTAACGAGTAAAGTAACGAGTTACTTTATGTAGAGAGTAACGAAGTAGTGTAATATATTACTTTTTTTTTTAGTAACGACCCCATCTCTGGCTATCACACAAGGCAAGTACCAGTGTAGCAGTATATGTGTATTTATGTATCTTGTATGTCTCCTTAGCCTCCCCAATCTGGTTATGACTGCTGTAGCGCTTTACTGTGGACAGTTCAAAGAGGCCATTGTTCGGATAGCTCCAATCCTTCATGATTCCAGCAGCCTTGGTCCTGCACTGCCTGGTGTTATTGTCTTTAGGCAGCAGTGCGTTCTGCAGACCGTACCAGACTGATCCTTGGTTTTTCTGACATTTTAGTGAGAGCCAGTTGTCTCCACCTCCCCTCTCCGCAACAGGCTGGCGCTACCTAATTACATTCTTAATGATTAGACCACTACATCCAGTCTATGGCTTACTGTATAAATAATACAGTTCTTCTTGTACTGTTGGAGATGGAGATAAAGATTGCCTAGCAAATTTGGATAGTTGCAGTTAGCATGTCTCGTACTGGAGGGATGGGAAACAAAAAACTCAGAGCATTATTGTATCAGGCTGTGGACATTTGGAGAACATTAGGAGGATCTATATTTATATATATATATAATTGTACGTTGGAGAAATCTAAGCTGCCAGGGATGTTGAGGTTTCTTCAGTCAAGACGCATGCAATAACAAGTCTCAAAAACAAGTTTTGAAAAGCAAGACATGATAGATTACACAGCTGCGTATAATGAATTATGTCAGAGCATATTGTGTATTTGCTGATGTCTTTCAAGATGTTTACCATACGACAGATAAGATTAATAAAAAGGTTTGCAAAGATAGTTTAATGAGGCATCGCAAATAAATGGTGCTTTTATGTTGTACACTAGACCATGTTAAAATGTAAATGTGACCTTTGTACATTAACATTTTGTACACCAAATATTCTCAGGTTCCTTCAAAGATAATTAAAATGATGATAATGCAGGACCATTCTTGGTACTTCTGAGGATTTAAGTGTACTCCAGTACCCAGCAACAGTTCATGTCGTATGGCATTGTCTAATAAACTCACTGTTGTTCTGGAAAAAAGAACAAAAAAACATTCAAACAATGGTAAAAAAAATACTTTGTAGGAGATAAAGGAATTTCCTCAAAGAAAAACCTGGCAATAACAAGGAAGGGGAGGCTGGAGTTTTGCTTTGAATTACTCTTTTTTTTTTCTGTAGGGAGGAATTATGTTAATATTGTTGTCATTTTTATTATCAGTCATTTTTTATATCCACTAAATGTCTTCTTGATTTATATGGTTTCCCATTTAAACATTTATAAAACTACAGTCCCTTTACAACTGGGACAAATCCATCTGCTGATTATGAGAATGTAAACCTCCATGAAAGCTACTCAATGTGCCTTGTAGTGAAATCGTTTTGCCAACTGCATGAAACTATGGAACATTGAAAAACGCAAAGAAATCCAGTTTTTCATTCATTCTTTTATTGGCTTTAGAGTAACAATATATTATATGAAAAATGTTGGAATCCGCCAATTCAATAGCAACCATATTTCATTTGTTCTTGGTTGCTTGATGAAACACAGAGGACAGGGCCTCAGCTGTACAGGCATTGATTCAAAACTATTCTTGGCAGATATTTCATCAAAATGAATACATAGTAAAATTGAAATTTAAGACCACAAATTGAAATAAAAGCTGTGAGGCACTGATGAGTAACACACGTTCATCTCCCATACAACAGAACCTTTTCTCAGTCACTGTGTGAGGACAGCAGGTTGCACAATGTTGTGATAACATTTAGGGGTTGCATGTTAAAGAGCAGTTTTAAAAATGTGTCACAGGCCACAAAAGGTTTCCTAATGCATTTAAAATATTAAAAGCAACCAAGCGAGACTGAATTCATATTCTATCACATGTTATGCAACCAACGCATTTCATATGGAGGGATATTAATGATGAGTGGATTCACTCAGAGGCAACTTTGGTCCAATCGCGAAATGAAGATGTCAACCAATAGCATAGCTGCTTTTATGCTGCTGATCTCTGACCGTAGAAATGGACAGCTTCGATATGGTTTGCAAACTGTTTGGGCAGTTTTTTAGTTTGCTGTGTTTGTTTCGTGATGGTTATTTCTGGGGCTGATTGCACAAAGACATGTTGTTTTGTTTCGCTCTTACTAGCTAAATGCTAACCTTTAAACATGAATGAAATACTGACTTATTCAGGATCTAATATACAAGTAGAGGGAAACTGCATAATTTGGTACCACACTTTGATGCAAATATTCCCAGAGCATTCAGTGCACATTAGCACACCAGCTAGAGTTTCAGAACATCTACAACAGTAGCATTTTGTGGTACTTTGAAACCGATGCCTTGGAAAAATGAGTTAAAAATGAGTTATTACAATTCTACATGAAAGACTTTGTGCAACCAGCCCTATGTACTGACTCTAAACACACTCCTACATTTTCAGTCACATTTGAACAAACAATGTTGTTTTTGTCTGACAAAATAACAATAAACGTTCTTCTCCTGTAGAGAAAAAGGCGGTTTCAAAGTGTCAACCCTCCTTTCCTAAGCTGTATGTATTAATATGTAAAAGCTACTAAGTTGATGGGATGGTGAGACAGTGCAGCTTCATTCCAGAAGCTTCCAGTGAAGTTACTCCTGTTTGACGTCCCCCTTCAGCTTCCTCTTGACTCTGGAGTAAGGGCTCAGGGTTTCCTCCATGATGAAGTCATACAGCACCTTCACCCACGATGAGTACTGAGGAAGGTCGTCATAATACTCTGCTGCGATTTTCTTCACCTGGAACACAAGAACGAGAAGAATATACAGGGGTGAGTGCGCTTAAATCACATTTAAATTGGAATTCAAGTCATATTTTGGACATCAAACGCTGAAGTGGCTTCTGGGAAAGAGAATTGTTCACTATTTTTGGTATTTTCTAAACAAAAACCCACATACAAGAAGGAGTCTTACTTATTCCTAGTAATAGGAGTAGCATTATTTAAACACGTTAGAATTTTGTTTTAAAGATAATCTCATAAACTATAAATGAAAGGATCTTGTAAATTAAATATATGAAATGATACAAACTAACCATGAGAATTAGATATCAAGTGAAAAGATGGAGTCTGTCCGAGTAGTTGTTGACATGAATGTACATATGAGAATTAATAACGTCCTTTAGCTGTTAACTATATACTATACATTGATGTTCATCATTGCCTTTATCCCTTGTTATCTCTTGTGATTGGTTGATGGTTATTTTATCTATGATAGTTCTGACTGTTTTTCATTTTGTTGTGTAATATTTAAAAAATGTTTTACAGTTTACAAAGCCAGGGCTCAACACTAACTTTTAAAAGTGGTTGCCAGGCTGGCAACCAGGCATCAGCTTTTGGTTGCCAAAACTGAAGATACGGTTGGCATTTTTAGTCACCTTGACTTTTGTGCTGATCCCCACCATAGATCCATTGGCCCTTCAGCATCGAAGTCTTGGATTGGCCAGACTAATACATCCAAGACTTCGATGCTGAAGGGCCAATGGATCTAATGGCAACCTGGCAACCGTTACTGTCGAGCCCTGAAAGCCTATGAATGCTTTCAATGTTGAAACATACATGTTGTAGAGTTACTTTGTTAACACACAGGTGTAACAGCAGGGTTAGTTGCTGCTCATGTGATTGATGTGATTCACTTTGGGTGGACAGCTGATAAAGCCTGTGGACGGCAAACAGGAAGTACTGCTAGGACATTCCTCGAGCACATGAGTAAAGGCTCTTGAGAAAATGACTGTGAAATGGAACAATAGACGGTGACTAATTGGTCCACTTCCAATGAATTGGTAGTGTAACCTAGAGTGATGTTTACTCGTATCTACCTTGGTTTAAAAGAAGTCTTTCTAAATTCCTCCAAATAGAACCACCTTACATAGTGAGATCCTGATCAATCACACTGTAGGATTGTAGCTTCCAACAACTCGACCTTGTGCTGACTAGTCCTGAGTTTCTAGTGAATAAACTACCGTATCTGAGTTTGACCTTTTTTACTGCCTTGTTCTCACATGGTAACACTCCGGTGATGCTTTACAGCTCTCATTGGCCTAATGGTTGATTTCTAACGTGTCTTATCTTTACTGCTTAAGATTCTGAGCAGTTCAGTTCATTTTCACTGCTCGTATTATGTTAGACAGGTAACAGAGAGGCCATGACTGTGGTTGGAGTTGTATTTAACCAAATTGTATCAGCTTATCAAATCCTTTGAAATGTGTGTAGGTAATAATATAAACATTAAGCATTTCGCATGCTAGGCTTAAATAAATAAGCATGTGAAGATGCTGCCATGTAAAGTCTATCATGTTAGGAATGTTAGGTTAGCATAAAATATTAGCATTCATCTCAAAAGACAGAGACAAAGGACAGCTGTATTTTTATACATTTAGGATAAACTCCACTCGTGAGTTCCAACACCGTCCAATCAGCTCGGCCTGCAGATCAGTTTCATTATTTATTTTTGATGTACTTTAACATTCCACAGATTCCACAAACAATAGCGATGTGCAGTCAGAAAATGAAATTGAAACTGTGAGAAGCTGACTCATATCCAGTAATCAGGGAGTTCACAGTGCTGGCACGTTTGTATTCATGGAACAAGTTAGTAAGTATTGACTAAAATAAACATTTAAAGAAAGGGCACGGTAGATGAATTATTTTTGGACAAACTGTGAAACCATGAGCTAATCAACTCATTGATAACACCGACACAAATATTTTAAATATTTGTAGACTTTTCTCACAAATACTGATTTAGTTAGTGTTATCCCAATCCCAAACGCTTCCTGGTTGTCATGTTTGTGCACGCTCTGTTCTGATCAGTTGTCTTGCAATGAGATCAAGTCAAATACAGTCTTTTGCATACTGTGGACAGTCTCAACCAACAGCCCTAGTGGGTTTGATCGTTTGGTTACCCAAATAACGAGGCAAAATGATGTTAATGTAACAGTTCCCACAGGCGGAATGTTTGAAAAAAGACCCAGCAGTCTCACAGTAACACGGCTGCACCTTCTTTGTTTAGCTTAGCTGCCTGCCTAGACAGATTAGTCTCCGCCCAAATAATTTCTTCCTTTCTAACCTCATGGCAGTGTATTCTGAGCCAACTGTGTGTACCAAGGACCTCCAAGCTGTACTCACCATGGGCAGCCTGCAGCCGGGGATGCTGGGAAAGTCGTGGTGCTCGTTGTGGTAGCCCACGTTGAAGGTGAGCAGGTTGAGGGAGCCGTAGTAGGAGTAGGTCTCGTGGCCCTTGAGGAACATGTAGTGCTCGGCTATGAAGTGTCCAGAGATGGGGTGCAAGCCCATCCCCAGCAAGGACCCAGCCATCATGTAGACCACAGGTTTGCCCCCCCACAGCCAGTAGAGCAGGAAGTTGAAGGTGAGCTGCACGGCCGCGTTGGTCACCTCCAGCTGAGTGATGGGTTTGGGGTTGATGCAGAGGGGCCGGATGGCGTAGAACAGCGGCTGCAGAATAATCCAGATGAATTTGCGGAAGGGTGTGCAGAAAAACCAGCCCTCAAAGTCAGTGGGGATGTCTACGTCCACACCGTCTCCACCCAGGTAGCGGTGGTGGTCCAGGTGGTAGCGTTTGAAGGAGGCGGAGTAAGGCAGGCCGATGGGTAGGTTGGCAAACATGGCAAAGTAGCGGTTCCACATGGCCTTCTTGTTTCCGAAGGCCGCGTTGTGGGAGATCTCGTGAATAGCGAGTGTCATTGAGTGGTTGATACAGCTGCCAAAGGCGTAAGTCCAAAACAAAACCCACTTCCAGTCCAAGTCTTTGACCAAGTAGAAAGCTAGAAACTGTATCACCACCATCATGCAAACAATCCATTTCAGCCTCGGGTCAGGACCCATCAACGACTTGATTTCTGGGTACTTGGCTGTGGGGGAGAACACAACAGAATTCAGTTAAACTCAGAGAACATTGTTATCTGATTCCACCAGGAAACAAACATTTAAATGAAGGCATTTGGCTAATGATTAGAGTCAAACAATGATACATCTGCATTATTTGGTTAAGAGAATGTAATGTCCTTTTAAGAACAAGCAGACTTGGCACAAATAACAATTTCAATGCAGATGTGTAATTACTGATTTGCAGCTTGTGAAATGTATTGCACCATCCCCCAATTCTGTGATAAGCCTGAAGGCTTTAGCACAAATCAGCTACAGTGCATGGTGACTCCCAAACAGCCTCAAGCACCTCTTTTGAACCTACTTTTAAGATATGTATTAACCTCAAGTAATAACTAGCAGCACAGGTTGGGTTTAACACACACCAGCAAGTCATCTAGTCAACAGATTAATGAAAGGTTTATTCTATGAATGTTTTCATTTTATAAAAAAAAAAAAAGTGTCTCACACTTAACCGTATAACGAAGATGAAACAAATTAAGCCTAACTGACTCATCTATTCATATTTTCCAATCTTAAAAATATATTCATCTTACGGCACAACACAACAACTCAGCTCGGACTGTGAAATTACAAATACAAGTTATCACTGTATATTAACACCATTTCAAACCCATATGTTATATGTCGGGCCGTGTTCGTGTATATGCCGCCCTTGTAATTGTTTTAAATGCTACTGCATTGTTCTTATCATGCTGTGTGCAGCAGATACGTTGTGACTTTTGACCTCCCCTCTTTGTATGCAGCAGTAATGGAGACCTGGGCTGTACATTGTAAATCCTTTTATCAAATCTTTGTTATCTTAATCACTGGCGGGAACCAAAGAACAGTAAACATGGAAGGGCATTAAGGTGACAAAGTCATTCAGCCCATTGAGTCATCAGCAGACTGAAATGTCTTCAAGACAGTGCAAGCTGTTACTAGCCAGTATGTAGACATGCAGCAAATCAGATTGGAACATGTCAGACCCTTGGTTGGCCTTGACTCATCGTCAGCAGTAACACAATGTGCTGTTCCCATATACCAACCAACCAATCAGTGAACCTGTAGCTTTGCTTAATAAAACAATGTTCTGTGGAAGCAGAGACTGCACAGGGGTTGGAGTTAAAGCTGACTTCACAACCTTCCACATCACTCTTGAGTTCTCTCTGTGGAGCTCATAACACATGTGCCATTTATGCAGTGGTGGAAAAGGTACTCAGATCTTTGACTTTAGTAAAAGAATAGCAATAATACAGTGTAAAAACAGAAAACACGCATTTACAAGTAAACATACTGCATTCAACGTTATAATCAAAATATTCTTGAAGTACAAAAAGGGCTCTTTATGCAGTATATTTCAGAATCATATATATGTTTAATTATTTTACTTCACTTATTGAAGCATTAATGCCAAAGTTGCACTTGGTAAATGTGAAGTTTGTTGTCAATTACCTTATATGCTGCTGGGTAGCCTACTAACCTATACTAATATATCGTAATGTATTGATTGATTTATACTTTGTATTTATAATCTAAATCTGCAAAGTAACTTTTAACTTAAGTTGTAAAACAAATATAGTGGAGTAAAAGTGGCATAAAGTGAAAATACTCAAGCCAAGTATCTGCATTTAAGTGACATGGTTTCAGCCTGAATATAAATAATTGCATGTTGAAGAGAATGTATTAGTGCAAAGCATTTTCTGTTTAGGAAGTTCACTAGTAATTGATTTCAGTCTCATTTCCAATTGTCAATAGTCAATTAATTCAAACCTGCACTCGCAGTTCAAGATTAACAATAAAAAGGCCAAATAACAAAATGAAACACAATGGTCTATCCATGATAAAAGATACAAGTCACAGAAGGCTTCCCTTTCAAAGCCATTAAATATTCATTTGCATTACAGAAGTTGCAAATAGCAAACAAAGAGGGCTTTCAGGTTACATGTATGCGTTCTATCAGGGAAGTTGCAGCAGAGAGAGAGACAAGTCTCAGCAAACACTACCTCCTGTGTCATTACCTCAGTGTGTTGCCCCCCCCACCCCCACAACCGAGGCCTGAGGCATGTGACTGAATACTGCTAAGCTCTTCTCAAGATACAAAAAGAAACAAAACCAATGTTTCTTAGTGCGTGTTCTCCCTCGGTATTATCTAACAAGGAAACAAATGAACCCAGTCTGGAATCTGACCCAGCGTTTGCTGAGGTTTGGAGGATTCATTTCAAGCTATCATGAGTGAAGCATGGCAGTAAAACATGGTAATACAGTTGACAATTATCAAACCTTATGCATTTTATATCAACTGGATAACACTGACATGAATGAGTGTGTGGCAGTCTGGCTGTTATACTGTGATATTTACCTAGATGGTTATCGTACAATGGAATAACCTCATACTGTTACACCCTAGTGGAAACACACAACCTTCCTCGTGTGTAGTGAAGCAGTGTGTCTCCTGATCGCTCAGTAAATGAATAGTTCAACCCAGGAGACAGCTGGCTGTATGAGTCTCATTATCCACAGCACTGGTCTCACCCCCCCTCACAATGGCAGTACTTTTTGTTTGACAAATTGACTTAAGTGTCTTGTATGCAATGTGTGAAAAGACTAAGGCCTCTTTCACACGGGAACGTTTGCGTTTATGCACAGTATGCGTATTCCAAAAAGTCTTCCGTTCACATGCATTCGTTTCATTTAACGTGTCTGTTCAAACGAGGCCGCTGGAAACGCTGTAGTACATATGCCGGGACTGTAAGTGGCGCTGTAACTTCCGCCAAAATACACCAAAAGCAGCGAAGAAGAGCAGCCCGAGCAGCCCCGCAGCAATGTTGCCATGGCTACCCTTCTGTTTAAGCCCCGCGGTGTATTTAGCAACATGTAGTTCATGTAATTCTCCATGTCCACTTGTTGCTGATGGTTGTGGTAGAGGAGCTGTAGATTTTGCACTAATATCTGTAGCATGGTCAGTAGCAGTAGCACTAGCAGTAGCTACTGACAGGAGGAAGTGTGTGTGGCGATTGCTGGTATTCAGCAGGATATAGTAATTTCCTCAGCATATGGATAAATGCAACGGGGAAGTTAACTGAAAGAAACCGAATCTGTGGATATTGCATCGACCGACCAAGAAGCACGTCTCTGTGGAGAGGACGCGCTCAGAAAGAGAGATATTCTCTACAAACACCGGGTGAGATCGCTCCTTTGTCAATATAATGGATCAATGCATGAAATCTGACTCTGTTTATTTTGTTTAAGGAGTATATTGGGCGTTAACAATTCTGGTTTGCCTTTTATAATATTATTTCATTCAAGAACCCCTTGTGCGTTTAATTAACACAGCTATTTTTGATAGTTGCTACAGCAGTGAGCAGCAGAGGTGGGGAGAGGTGGGGCTATCGCTATTTTTTCAGGAAATATTCGTATAGAGGTGATTACACGGACTCGGTTGACCCCCCAGAGCGTTTCGTTTGCAAATCTATCCACCTTGGGACCCGTTATCGTTTGTGGGGTCAGTTTCTATCGGCCTCGTGTAAATAATAGGGCTATACGCACGCGAAACTATGCAGATACAAGCAGTTTTCTCCTCGTGTAAACGGCGCCTAAAGAGATACAAAGCGGTACCTAAAACCTACACATCCTCAACCATCCAAAACGGGCTCCACTTCCAAAGGGATTGAAGAGGACCGCCCCGTTTTACCTCTGTGATGAGATCTTGTGTGGAGGAAGGAAATGCTATTTGACTCTGACATTGGAAATATAATTATTGTTGAAGTAGTTTTCTGCAATGAATTTGATTATGTATTACTTACTTTAATTAAATACCCTAATATGTTGGATGACACCTACTACTTTTTAGCATTACAAGTGCATGCAATCCAAAAAAGAGAAACCATCAGTTTAGTCATTTCAAATATTGGTATAACAAGATTACGCATATGAATGTATTTCCTCAAATGTGTGTAAAACCCTCCAAAATGTGCCCATGCCAGAGATTATAATATGAAATTGAGTAGTAAAGTAGATGCATGTTGATATAAAGGGGGAGACATCTGGATGCATCGGTTTTGTCATTTTTTAACAAAGGAAAATATATTATAAAGACAAACAACTAATGGATTACTTAGAAAATGATGGGCACATTCCTTGATTATCATAATGATCATTAACTAGAGCCCTAAAATTAAACTAGGGCATGATATCAATAAAGCTAATTAAATATCTACACTTGATAAGACTAATGCAGCAATAGAAAAGGTCTTGAACCTGATTTCTTATTAAACAGCATCATGTTACGTCAATTAAGTTAGGTATTAAACTCTTCTGAACTAGCAACTAAAAGGCTTGTGATAGCTTCCCTTCTGGCATGGTGTTTCCTTTCATGACTGTATCTAACGCTGAACCGTTACTGCTACTTCCCGCTAACAGCACCTCAGAGACTCGGTGTTATGTCACTTCAGGGAGTGGCGAATTGACTAACATTACTGTGGCTGTAGGGTTAACATTACATTGCTAACATGGTTATGTTTCATTAAGCTAACTAGCTACAACTAGCTTTTATAAATATAACTACTTTGATAACAGCCGTGTTGGTTGCGGTCAGTCATTAAAGGTTGTAATGTATTCACCAACCCAACCTGTGTCAGTTAGCTAGTCTGTTACTCGCGAATGCACAGCAGGATATGAAACCGTTAGCTAGCTTGCATAAGTTAGCTAAGCGAGTCAGCTGATATGGAGGAGGCATTTATGCCAAACTGCACGGTTAACTAACGTTAGTCATCAACATACCAGTCGAGTAAACATAGTTTTATCTAAATAAAGTTCACTATGGGTTTTTCTAAAACTTTCAGACGGATCAGCTAGCTCACCCAGGATCTCTTTCCTCCTGTCGGCGTGCGGCTGGTCTGTGTACACCCACTCGTAGTCCTCACGGGCGACCCGGTTCCCCATTTTTTACTGTAATAAACGACTTTCTTGTACAAAAAAACAAACTAAATATCAACCGATCGTTTCAGAAGGGAACTTCTGTGATTCAGGTCCACCTCCTCTCCTCTCTCCTCAGCCTATCGGGCCGTCTGTGACCTGGCGGATTGAGTCAGCTCTGCCCGGCTGCAGCTCCTCCTACAGCCTCAGACAGCAGGCAAGCATATTGAATGACGCAGTTTTTATAAACTATAAAATAATAGTTATAAACCTGTCAGAAATAGGCTAGCAGCTGGTCAGAGATGACTAGTTAAAGTACAGTAGGAGATTTTAGTTTAGATATTGCAAGAAAACCCATTGTCTTCTTTCAACTTTATAATACCATGCCAAGATAAGAAAACCCGCCCAACGTTACCTGGTTCTCATCAGGACACAAAGGGTTTAGTGAGATTAAGTCTCTTTGTGCTTCAAATCCAACATGGTATGGCACTTAAGCAGTGGTTCCCAAACCCGTTGTATTGTCTATCATTACCTGATGATCCCTGATATGTGAACTATTTTATGAATATTAAATTGTATTTTCAATGCAAAGCAATTAGGCCATCTGATCAACTACACAATTACCTAAAACAGTAGCCTTCAAACAACTGCAGGAAGTTGGTGTAACATTTGTGATTTGGGGTGATTTTTTTGAAAGCGGATAACCTCCTGTCAACATTGAAACATCAGAGATCAGATTTTTTGATATCTTTACATATAATCATGTGCTTTATCTGCAGTTTTAACTGCATGCATTTCTATGTCCTGAACCGGAAAACGGTTTAAGAAAATACAATCTCACACTAGCAGCTTCTTGTCAAGAGCTGTGGCCTCCATCCTTTCCAACCACCGAACACACTACAACAACTGTGAACATACACAAACACACTTCCACCCCTCAAAGACTAGCCACAAATATTTATGGCCCTTTTTTATCATCTTGTTACTTTTAGAATCTATTTATGAACACACAGTTATATTTAAACTTTTGTAGTTTGTATGTTAACATTTTAATTTAAATAAATGTATCCCTGCTTTTATTTATTTGTGTCTATTTCTATTACTGCAGTGAGAGAAGCTAATGGAATTTCGTCATACCAAAGTATGATGACAATAAAGATATTCTGATTCTGATAACAGGACAGGATGGTAAGCACAGGTGAAAGGCAACTTTTTCCTTTTCAACCCTGTACAGCCTTGGGGACCTCAATCTGGGCTCCTGTGTTACTGCAATGGAGAGAGGTGTATGTAATAAATCAGATGATTATGTGGCTGGGGGGAATCTTATTGACGTCGTAGTCTATTTTAGAAACAGAATAGGCATTTTTATCATATTGCGAGGGTTCATATGACGCACTGACATTGTATTCATATCCCTCTTTTCTCCCCAAAGATATAGAGCTTCTTCTGGTAGAAGAAACATCTTTTTCCATTATTCCCCTTATTTGTCCAAAGGCAATTCTTAATAAACTGTTAATTAGTGTGTGTACCATGCGATGAATAAAAAAGTAGCCTATGTATCATTATATCCTATCAAACTCTTTCTGATATTCTACCAGAACCTTCAGGAAACGATGCTTTGACGTCATGCTGTAGCTTACCATGTGGTCATCACCTGTTGAGATAAAAGGTTCATGCAGTCTGTAGCTAATGAGATGTTTTGTTTTAGCTAATGAATGTGTATGCTATATCCTCCACTAGAGATTTACTGGCAAAAATACGTTTTTGATCATGTTAAAATCCAATGCATGTACAGTAACGGTCCTAAATTCTTAAAAAGAAATGTAGAACAAGAAAAAAAAGACCAACCTTAAAATGTAAAAATCCCAAATTACGCATTATTATTATTTTCTATCTTTTTCAGGAAATTATCACATTATTGGTACAAATGTTATGACAATGTCACATGAGATCACTCACCATCCGCAATGCCAAATTAGGCCAGGGGTGTAAAATGTGTGTGTAAGTGTGTTTTTGGGGGAGGGGCTGGAAGTCCACCTTTAGTTTAAGGGGAATAGTATGTTGTAGATATGACTGCTGAAAAAGCGTTAATTCCCTAAGCAAATAACTAACGTTTATGAAAAATGCATTGTCATGATAAGCAGTCCGTCTAATCACCCTCGTCTTTACTCTTCTTTTTACAGAACTTCAACCCTTATGAAAACTGTAGCCATGGATATGAGTTGTTGTTGTACAATATGCATCAGTGGTTCCCCTTCTCTCTCGCAAATGTACACACACACACACACACACACACACACACACACACAATTTCCATTTATAGCAGTGTGGCAAATTAAACAGAAATTCTTAAACTGGACAGACCGTTTGGTTGGCATGTGACCTCTGTGAGTAAGTTCAGACGTAAGGTCAGCTACACAGTAATGTCAGCTACATTGAGATTAGGTATTGTTGGCCTTAAGGTTAGAGGAGTGTGCTTGTGAAAGAGGGTCATCGGGTGTGTTCCCAGGATGATCAGGGTGGGGCTCGGTGGCCAGCAGCAACTTCCAGATGTGAATGTGTGTCAGGGTGTTCCTGCAAAATAGAGGCTTCCTCTCAGTGAGACTTCCCCATAGATAAAGGTTGAAAAAAAAAAGAGCTACTTCCCTAATTCCATAGTTTATTAAGGGAAACACTGCCCCCTGGTGGTGAATGTTCAGTACAACAGAAATGAGAATAGGGAACACTCAGAGATGACATTTCCCATATTCTCAACAATTGCCGTCAGAATCAGTCTATGAAGTTATGATTTGTAGGTTTGCTTTAGACTCATCTCTTATAAAACTCATTGAGGCTGCAGATGCAGATATGCTGAAATAATAGTTTGTTCCTAAACAACGGTTTTCTCAGCCAATAATAACATTTATTAATGATTAGTTATGTTTCCGTATATCCACCTATCAGCAGCATTTTACAAATCTTTTAATATGATATAGGATATTTGTGGTTATCAAATATACTTGTGAAAATGTGAATGTTTTACAAAGACCACAGACTGTTATGACGAATTTATCTTTTAAATAATGTTCTTGAAATACATATTTGAAATATCTGAAAAATCCCATGTGCCCCTATTTAAATACCACATCATATTTTTAGTAGCTTTAAATCTGTCTACTTATTTTTCCTCTGTTTAAGCTAAACAATAGTATTTACAGTAAATATCATCAATTGGATCACATACATTAAATTACAACAACATGGGCAGCTGCTTTACTTTTAATGATTTAATCACTTGAACATTTAATTCAGAACTTGCTTCTCTGAGGAACAGTCAGCATATTTAGCAGCTATTATTGTAAATGTACAATAAGCATGAGTCATTATTCCCCAACTGACAGGAGCTGGTGGAGTTTCCAGAAAGCATTAGAGGAAACAAGTGGCACTGGAAGCAATAAAATGCTTACTGGCAGAAAACTTCTTTGTGACTAGCACAATACTAAACGCAATAAAGTGATAAAACTTCCATTACAGCACACTTTAAGAAACGTACCGTGAAATTCACAGTATGTAACTGGCAGCAATTCACAAGTTACTTACTGTAAAATGAATTACAGTAAGTAACTTGTCAATTGCTGCCAGTTACATACTGTAAAGGTAATCACAGTATTTACAAGTTTTTATTTACAGTAACAGTGTAAAATGAAACACAGTAACTTCCAAGTACGGTATTTGTGTTTACGGTAATAGTGTTTTAACTGTAAAATGAAACACAGTAATATGTAATTACTTTATTTTTTGTTACAGCAGTAGTGTTATAGCTGTAAAATAAAACACAGTAATTTCCAAGCATTGTATTTTTGTTTAAGGTAATAGTATTTTAACTATAAAATAAAACACTGCCATTTAAAAAGTACTGTATTTTTGTTTACGGTAATAGTGTTTAAACTCTAAAATATAAACTTTAATGCTATAATTTTAAGTTGCAGTATCAGTATTGTAACTGTAAAACAATTTCTTTATTATAGTATACTTCATGTCATGCTGGTAATTTACAGATTACCAGAAATTCTTGACACAATTTTAAAGCTCACCAATAACTGCATAGAGACAGCAAACAATACATTTTAACAATTTATTCTTAATTGTTGAACGGTATCAAGAACATGTATTTTCTTGTGCTAAATGGGTGAGCATACCATGGCTACCACAAATGTAGTCTTCCATTGCATATCCCATGTACAATTATCTTCCATGTCTTATAAACTGTGCTTAACTGACCAGCAGCTGCAATTCCTACACTTATTACATATTTCCATCCATAAAACTATGGATATTAATATCCAAAAACATGGAGATTGCATTTTTAAAACAGTGGCGATAACAAATCAACACAACAAATATGAAGCCATTTCTTCTGCCAAGCCATTTTAGAGACGTGCTGTAGTTGAAAAGGTGTCACGACCTCGACACAAACTGGAGAACCCAAATGCACGACCCAGAGACACAGTTTTGAATGTAACAAAAATTGTCTTTTTAATGTCAATGAACAGAAAATCCCTCTTAACAGAGTAAGTACTGGAATAACAAAAGAAACGCTCACAAGGAGGAAAAAACTAAGCGTAACAAGAGAACTTAAGATAAAATGAAGTCTACAAAAATAACAAAATAACAAAACCTGACAAGACTGGAAACGATCCTCTCTTTGCTGAGGCCTGGCACGACCACACGTGGGAACAAACAAGACAAACTGACACAGGACAGGAGGGAGACAGGACTATTTAAAGGACACCTATCATGCTATATTTAAATGATATATTGTAGGGCCATACCTATATAAGGTATATTTATACGTTTCTGTTTTCAAAATACCAAACAGATCATGCATTTTAGCCATGCCTCATTTCGCTCTATGTGCTGTTTGCTGTCTACGGGGCTGATTCTGTGAGCTGCAGCTGACCACGCCCCCCTGCAGGAGAGGGGAGCCGTGCTCTGATCAAGTCAAGAGGGGGAGAAAAAAAGATCTCCGTCCTCCGTGTTTTATTATATTATTATAGGCCTATAGAGTCGTTATTCATTTGTTTTAAAGCTCAATAAATAACAAAGAAGACCTTTGACCGGCACTTTTCAAATTTTGTCCGGAAGATTTAAACTTTAACGGACATCTTGATCGGCGAAAGAAACTGAAACTCTGCCGCACGGTCCCCTCGTTC